CTGCCACGGGTCAAACCACCTTTTCTTCAACAGCCGAAAGGTTCCGGTTTCAGGGGGTATCGCCTGGGGCTTGGGTTTTTTGGGAATTGACCTTTCTGGGGTTGGCAGAAAAGAAGCCACCACGCAAACCCATCATTTTAGGTCCCAACCCCTATTTCAACGCATTTGTTTTTACCAAATGAGGTTGGTTGTCAAATTTTTAGCAGCTGATACATTTGTCGTCCGGTCTGCTCTTGATTTGGGCTCATTTGGGTTTGGGACATTCGGCGAAGTACTCTAAATTGCGAGGTAGCCACATGCTTTGGTCGTGGCTCAAATGCGCCTGGTTTTTGATATTTTGTTCCGGGGGCGCGAATGGATGGGGGAATGTTTGGTAGAGTCGTCATTGACACGGGGGTTGATGTCCACCATCGAGTTCTTGCGACCTGGTTAACGGAGAGCAATGTTTTGCTTCAGGTTGGTGAATATGCCACACCCAGACAAATGCTGTCGAAAGGGATCGCAAGTGCCATGTCCGATGGTGATACTCGGTGATATTGCTCACCATAAACATATACGAATCTATTGCTATCAGCTTCATTTGTATCAAAGCCATGCTGGTACCAGGGACTCATCCTCCTATTGCTTATGCAGCAGTACTTGTAGCAACTCGATCGGAGACCTTGCACGGCCTAAGGGAAGTTGTTGACCGTGCCCACGAAATGGAGGTTGAACCATGGCACGCGCGCAAGCGAAAGAAGTGCCGCGCAAGCAAAAGAGCTTGCAAGATGCTGGGACAAGTGACCCATGTTCACAGGAGACCTAACCTTCCCCCCTCCCTTTGACCCCCTATACCCCCTAATTTTCCTCCAAGCAAGTTGTCGAGGTCTTGTTTAGGGAAGAATGAAGGGGCAGGGGTCGCGGAGGTTGGGATCGTAGTGTGTGAAACTGAGTTCGGCTGGCGGTGTTGTTTGGGCAGTCCAAGCACTCTCGCCCACGGCAGGACAACCAACAAAGGGAAACAGTCCCAACTAGCCTCCCTTCAGGTTCAAACCGTGCGCAGAAGCCTCCCTTTAGAGCCATATATTTGAGGGTGGGAGAGTTTCGCTGCAAAACAGCACTTAGCGCCCATCCGCACCGACTGTGGAACCAGCTTTCGCTGCCGCTGGAATTTGGGGGCTTCTGCCTTGGTAGCAGCCAGGTAGGTTTGGGCCAAAAAAGGGGACGCCAACATGAAGGCTTCCGTTTACACACACACACCCACACACCCACACCCCTGCCCCCACCCACCCACCCACCCACCCACCCAGAACCCACCCACCCACCCACCCACCCACCCACCCACCCACCCACCCACCCACCCACCCACCCACCCACCCACCCACCCACCCACCCACCCACCCACCACCCACCCACCCACCCACACCACACACGCACCACGCACACACGCACGCACGCACACACGCACACACGCACACACGCACACACGCACACACGCACACACACACACACACCCACCCACCCACCACCCACCCACCCACGCACGCACGCACGCACGCACGCGCACGCGCACGCGCACGCGCACGCGCGCGCGCACGCGCACGCGCAAGCGCACGCCTACGCGCACGCGCACGCGCACGCGCACACGCGCACGCGCGCACGCGCACGCGCACGCGCACGCACACGCACACGCACACGCGCACACGCACACGCACACGCCCACGCCCACGCCCACGCCCACGCCCACGCCCACGCCCACGCCCACGCCCACGCGCACGCGCACGCGCACGCGCACGCGCACGCGCACGCGGAAGCGCACGCGGAAGCGCACGCGCACGCGCACGCGGAAGCGCACGCGCACGCGCACGCGCACGCCCACGCACACGCACACGCACACGCACACGCACACGCACACGCACACGCACACGCACACGCACACGCACACGCACGCACCCACACACACACACACACACACACACGCACGCACGCACGCACGCACGCACGCACGCACGCACGCACGCACACACACCACGCACACCACGCACACCACGCACACCACGCACACACACACATACGCACCAACAAACACCAAAACACACCAACACACACCAACACACACACGCCAACGCACACCAACACACACCAACCCACCACACACCAACACACCAACACACCACACACAACACAACTCACAACACAACACACACACACACACACCAATACACACAACACACAGCACACACACACAACACACAGCGTATCACAACAAAACACAACACAACACAGCACAACACAGCACAACACAACACAACACAACACAACACAACAACACAACTCAACACAACACAACACACAACACACAACACGCAACACACAACACAGAACTCACAACACAACACACACGCACAACACACAACAATCACACACACAACAATCACACAACAAAACACACAGCGCACAACACGCAACACACACCACACAACACACCACACAACACACCACACAAAACACAACACACCACACGAAACACAACACACCACACAACACACCACACAACACACAACACACAACACACAACACGCAACACACAACACCCAACACACAACACCCAACACACTGCACACCGCGCACGTGCGGGCGCCTGCACATGTGTGACGCACCGCTACGCATGCGCGTGCACGCTTGGCACTCGCGACGCGCGCAGGCGCCGGCGCCGGCGCCGGCGCAGGCGCGGGCGCAGGCGCAGGCGCAGGCGCAGGCGCGCACGAGCCGCACGCCCGCACAAGCGCACACACGCTCGAACGCCCACGCAAGCACACACGCTCGCCCGCCCGAACACGCACACGCTCGCACGCACGCACGCCCACACACGCACACAAAAGCACGCAAGCACACACCGATAGAAAGTAAGGGGAGACCGATTTGCCAGGAGACCGATTTGCCAGTTACTCCCCTTTTTTGCGAGGTTCCGATTTGGTTTTTTCTTGAAGTGGGAGGAAAGCGAACAAGGACAGGAAGCCTTTCCTTGTGGGCGACCCTCTGTCACTGTTATGATTGTTGGCAAGTGTGTCAGGTAGAACCAGGAAATTTATTAATTTCGCCAATCTGAATTAGGGGATCCGTGAGGGAGGAACCCGCGCGAAAGGAGCTTTGTACAATAGGTGTGAGGCTGCAAACCCCATTTGTAAGATTGCTTTGATTCACCCACCTTCTCATGAGAGAGCAATCTCGACGAGTCAACTAGACGGGCTCAGCTCCCGACTCAAGGTTTCTTCGCGGCCACCCCAGAATTCTGAGCGGTTCCAAGTCGGCCTTTCATGAAGCCGGCTGCCTGTGTGCAGCCGGCAGTGTCGTTTACTCAACCCGCCTTCGCACATGTTGAGTCGGTGGCTCCAAACGTCACATCGGCAAACCACGGGTGGAAAGAAAATTGGTATGGGATGTATTGGTGTTTCCTTCCAGGCCAGGGACCTTGGATAAAATGCAATGGGTGTGTCGTTGATTCCTTCAGGCTTTGAGGCATTGGGCCTCGCCTCTGACTCAGCGGCCCTTCGGGCCCGAAATACATCGGCTTGCGCAGCCGAGACCCCTTCACGCGGGGCCAAATTAAAGCAGAAAAACAGATCGACCCCCAACCTTCAAAGCACCCCCAAAAGTTGCTCGCGGGAAAAAAAGCTCCCTTCAAACCAACCTGGAAGTGATACCCTCCAAATAAGCTCACGGCCATTGGCACCCGCACGGGGGGTTTCGGTTCCGCTTGGCGCAGTCGCAGAGGGGGAATTTGGGAATTTCGCAGCGTGGCAGAGAAAGCCTGGGGAGCTTTGATCGATCTTTTTCGGGTTGCTTCTTGTAATGTTTGACATCTTTCATGGGGGGTTTTAAAGCGACAGAAGCTGATGCGGGTCACCTCCGCCTGGCCTGCCTTGTTACCCGGCTTTGAGCAAGACCCCCAAACCAACAGAAGCAGGAGGAGACAAAATGTCGTGCGAGGCGGTATGAGCGACGGACAATATTACGGAGAGGACAGGGGGGACGCAACCAGTCTCCTATTCGCATGTTTGGCAGTTGCGTTCTTCGAAGTGCTGAGTCAAAGTCCACGAGACGGGATGTCATGTGGTTCGAATGTGATGTCATGATGTCATGTTGTTCCAATAGGCGCAACTCAAGGGAGCTTATGTTCTCCCATTGGTGAAAAGTCTGTATATGCGTCTGGCTGGGACGCAGCCATTGAATCGAAACAGTTCCTGGTTGAAAAGAAACCGGCTAGAAAGGAGTTCGACAGGCCGGTTGCCTTTGCCAAGTCGCCCCTTTGGATCCCAACCCGTGGAGCGCTGGCAAGTAGCAACCTTTCTACATTGGGCGCATGATGTTGACGGTTCAAGGGGTTATACACCCAATAAACTCGGTTGGGGACTTTGGTGGCATAAGCGTTGCGCCTTTTGGAGTGTACTTGTTTCTTGGCTCGTGCTGCTTTCAGTGACGACGCGCTTACATGTGTGGCTCTTCTGACAATTGTAATTGGCAATCCGATCATCAAATCTCCGAAGTTGCCAATATTCACATCGGATCGAATCAGAGTTACCTGATCGGATCGAATCAGAGAGTTTCCCATCCAAAGAAATGGATCAGCCCCTTCCCCGCTGAAACAAAACCACCCCTAGTCTAGTTGGAGGGATCTCCAAATCCGAGGAGAATCATCAGGAACAAGCGAGGTCCGGGAGTCTTTAGGATGGTGTTTGAAGGGAAGCTAAAGGGAGGCCAAGCCCCAGAAACGTGCCCATTTTTGGCGAGCATAGTTTTCAGCTTGGGGCGTGCCCGCTTTCTGCGACCGAATGCCAATAATTTGCAGTGATCAAGCCTCTTTCCAACAGTCAACAATCATGGAAGTCGACAAGCCATTTTGGACAGGATGGCAGTCCAAGAATCCCTCCCATTGTCCACTCCCAGGATGTTTGGAGGGTACTTCAAGTGGATTCCAGACTCAAACATCCGCTTTAGGTTCAGCACTCCATATCGATCAGGTGGCCATCCTGAAGCAGATGGGTGCCGACAGCTTCTGCCTGAGCTGGGTGGTACATCGATGGATTCCACTGGTTCCAGTTTGGTTCCCATCTTACCACTCCAAGAGGGCGCCTGCAAACTTGAGTTTTTTGATGGCTTGAAGTGCGTTGAGCCTTTTGGGGTGGGCGGTTCTTCATTTTTCCCCTAAGAGAAAGACAACGGCCAAAGTAGATTCCCATGCGTTGAGGCGGACGGACAAAATGAGGGAAGCACGCAGAAAGACCTATGATATATATATATATATATTCTTTATTGATCTAAATGCATCGAGATGACTGGACATACAACCATGGTTTGCCATGGCTTTATTGAGCCAAAGATTCCCAGACCGTGGTTCCTGTTTGGCCGAGCACCGTTCATTTCTGTAGATCGCCCTGTAGCAAGTCGTGTGGCTTTCTGAGTGCTCGATGCTCACTTCGTGCTGTCGGCTAGGGAGTGTGTTCGTGCCTTCTCGTTTGAGAGATGTGCGATTGAGATCCTGTTCGTGGACTGAAAGAAGCTCTTGGCTGTTGAAACACACCACCGTGTGATTCACTTTGTTGGTTGCCAGTCCACTCAGAGATGGCAAAACACAACTCGAGAGGTGGTTGGCTCAACACGGCCAGTCGGTACTGGAAAGAAAGGTTCCTAGTCTTCCATAAGGCCCTGTGTACCAAAATTGTGAGGACATGTCCAACAGAGGCTCCAGGGTTCCCTCCCCAACATGAAGCCTGACTGACCATTTTTCAACGGAGACTTGTATTTCTCACTCCCTAAGTTTCTGGACTTTCGACACTTTTTGGAAAGACCCTTTTTAGCAATCGCGGCGCGCTCGAGGCGCCCGCGTCGGCTTCGAGACCCCACCCCGGCGTCAAGGCGAGGGCAAACGAGGAGCTTTGGGAAAGGGAGGTTGAGTTGGGCGCGTGTTTTAATTGAAACCCCGTCGTGGTTTTAAAAGGAAGCCAACAGGAAAGCCACACATTTTGGGGGGTCCCTGAAACACGCAACCATCTAGCGATTCCCGGTGACCTCTGGACACCTTACTTGCTTTACCTTGTTAAATCTAGATGTTTCGTAAGGGGTTGAGAATGACCTGCAAGAACACGACGTGGCAGCATTAGCGTCACCAGCGTTATTGTCATCACGACCACCACCACCACCACCATCATCAATCAAGTGTGCTTCGCCGCAGCCACCACCAGCAGCAGCAGCAGCAACTCCTCCTCCTCCTCCTCCTCCTCCTCCTCCTCCTCCTCCTCCTCCTCCTCCTCCTCCTCCTCCTCCTCCTCCCCCCTCTCCTTTTTCTTTTTCGCTATCACACTTTTCTGTTGTGCTTCATGTTAGTTCTCAACGCGATGCCAAGATGTTTGAGGTCGCACCATGAACTTATTCGCCAGCATAGCACGCCATGATCTCACATGCCCAATTAATTCCGCAGTGAATCTGGAACATAGCTGAAACCCTTGAAACTGGACAAGACGTGGGCTGCTTTCACACGCTCGTTGTTTCCCACCACGTCAATGAATCGATCTTTTAGACTTCCCAATGTGGCTATCTTTCATAGATGTGGTGCGCATGAACCGCATGTTTTACAAAAGAGACGTGCTATGAATCTGAATGTTGCTTTTTTTTTTGGGCGAGGGTACCCATTTGGGGCTGATTGAGCCGAACAACCAACGATAAATTCACCCCTGGATCCTCAAACTACCCACGTGTTGAATTGACCCCATCGAGGCGCCAGCGACACCCTCACAGGCAGAGTGCTGGGCCGGGTTCTTAGCTGCTTGCATGAACAAATCTTAGTGTGGCCAAAAAACATGTTGACCCCGGATGAATAAACCCATCCTATTAGGGGTTTATAAGTCTTGGGTCAACATGACATCTAAGTTCCGTGGATGGACAAAATCCTATACCAGTTGGTAGATGTTTTTATCCCATGCAGGGTATTGCCAATGAACAGACCCCGCCCAACCACAACCCCCCTACAGGTAAATTACAGCGAGTTCCACGAATTACACAATTCCTTGTCAACCTTTTGATAAGGGCTTTAGAGACACAGACCCCTCCACCACCATGGCCCACATAAGGCAAGCGTTTTCACCACTGCATAAAGGAAAGGGATTTGGGTGCAACCGACTGCATCGGGAAGGGGGGGGGGCAGGCATCAGTACTTGAGGAGTGTGTTCCCCCCCCAAACTGAAGAAAGGCGGGCCTTCTTTTTCATCAAGGAGTTTATTTGCTCTGGGTTCCGATTCTCTTGATTTCGGGGGTTTGAGTGGAAAATCACATATTTTGCAAATTGAAGGGCTTGGATCTTGCTGCAGGGCCTTATAATTGCGTCACTTCCGCACATTTTGGTGCAGTGTTCAGATAGTTCGCAGGTACCATGTTGCTGCATCTGCTTGCCGCATATTTTCCGGGCTCACTTGCGGCAAAACCTGTGGAGGGAAGGTTTTGGCAACTGAAGGCCAGGGTTTTTCATTCAGCACACGCGCGTTTGCCAGCCACCACCTCCAAGCTCGGACCGTTGTTGACTCTCGGGGCTCTTTGAACTGCTAATGCCGAAGTGTTCGGGGGTCAAAACCACCCAGCACTGTCCAAAGCTGCAAGTGCTCGCCGAAAAGCAGTCGCAGGTTTGGGCCTGGAAGTGGCTGTGTCGCCTCAGGCTCCCCGCAGCCGCGCTGGCTGCAGGGCCTGGACTACGCCGCGCAGGCGGATGCGTGAGAATTGTTCGCAGCACTCGGTCAGCACGCAGCTGGTCGGGTGGGTTACCGGGTTTGGGCTTCGGTGCCGGGGCTTGGTGCGATTTGCTTTCCCGATTCAGAAGGTTGTTTTGAAGATTCAAGCCGCGAGACAGCGGTTTTCTTTTTCACGCCCAAGCATGTTGGGTCCTTGTGTTTGTTCTCCGAGCATCCAGAAGCTTGTTATTGCATGCCGAAGATGTTCTAGCCCCAAAAGGGGTTCCCTAAAGTTGCTTTGGACACTTCCGCTTTGAGATTAGACACCCCTTAGTCCCCTTAGTTTCCTATGTGTGGAAGCCCCTTAAATTGGTGTGGCGGTAAACCTCCGGAACCCCATGGCATTTTGGTTCTTTCAAGCCATAGCCCCTCGTGGAACCTGGGCCTGGGGACCTGGAGCCAATCCGCAGGGCCGAGTGGCGGCCTGCGGCAGCCGGGCCGAGGCGCTGCAAGTCCTCGAGGAGGCGAAATCGGCGGGTCGATGCAATGGGCACTTTGGGCGGCTTGGCTGCCGTCTGCGTTTTGTTTTCTCTTTTCCCCAAGTGGTTGGGTTACTTTTTGGGCGATTCATGTTCCCAGAATTACTTGCAACTGGTCTCTGGTTGGGTTCCCTATTGGAACCAAAGGAGAGGTTAGGGCGTAGCCGAACCCATCTGAAGCACGAATTGGGGCTTTGGGAGGGGGGCAAGCTGCCTGGGAATATCGAGCCGGGATCTCCTCTTGTTTGAACGATCAACATGTGCGTATGTGCGTGTTGTTTGGGGGTACCCCGTTTCACGTTGGTTGACAGAAACCAAAAGGAACCATTCCCCCGATGTGTTTGGGGATACTGTATAATCTTGACCCCGGAGGGAAGCGACCGAGGTTGTTTTCTTTGAAAAGAAGCTCCGTTGGTGCAACCACCATGAGGTTGACCGTAAAGCTGTTTTTGCAGGAGCCGTCCTTTTTGTTTTGAAAAGCGGAAGATGGCCTGTAAACTGAAAAGAACATGTTGGCTCCTGTACGTTTCATAATCTATGCGATCACTGCGTTCTGCATGTTTTCAAAGCACACATCCATCCAACATATCCAGCCAAGCCTTGCGGCCATGTGCGCCTGTCTGTGCTTTGGTCCATTTGGGCAACTAACAATGAGCTCACCGGGCGGGGACTTCCCTTGTTTCCTGCTTGTGCAGCTGTGCCGCCGACCCTACAAGGCTAAGCATACCATCTGCTGGGATATCGAAACAAGAAATCGACCGGCAGATGGTCGTCCCATATTCTCGTTGCCTTTAGTTTCACAGTTCACTTGGCAATATCTCTTTGTGGACGGGTTCCATCGTTTGATCATGGAGGTGACCCACAGGTTTCTGGTTTCCTGATCAGTCAGCTGAGCGGGGCTGAGTCAAGACCGTCACTGACCACTTTGCTCCAACTTGCAGGCAGCGGAACCGGAGTTCTCCGGGCAGGCGAACGGACGGAAAGTTGATGTTCCCGGTCTTTGCTTTGAGCCAAAAGGCCCTTTGGCTTGTCGCCAAAAGTAACAAACATAATTGTGGATTTCCGTTTGGATTCCCTTTAGAACCGCAAGGATGGGGGTACCCTCAAAGCAAGACACACCCATGCCCAAATTTGGGACCCAACCCTTAGCCAAAGGGTGCGATCGGCTTTCGATGCCCTGAAAAACTTTACGGTTGCAAGGAATGCTCGCAGAATTAACCTGATTCCTGTTGCAAAGCAAATCGACAGAATCTGTTCTATGGGTGTTGCACGTTTTGTGCAATATGTTTTAATGTGTAAAGCAAGTGGCCACTGTTGGTTCGGAATGTCACTTGCGATTCGGAATGCCTCGATGGTAAAAGGCCAAACAAATGGCCTTGAAGCCAGGTTGCAGTTGCAGAGTTGCAGTCTCGAGTGCTGCCTTCTCTTTGAGGAGAACGGGTCCAGGCATCAATCCAAAGCCAAAGCCCAAGCCAAACGTAAAAGCACGAATAACTGAACATCAAGAAGGGGACAAGCCCAAACCAAGTTCTTGTCTTCTTGGCCGGCCATGGGACGTTCATAGACCTGATGCTTGGAAACACATGGTGGAATTTCGTTGAGGGCCATGTTGAGCGCCATAGCCTTCCCTAGCTCATGCGTATTTGAAGTACTTCATCGCAAGTCACTCAATAGACGGGTGGCACGTTCTTTTAGGATGGGGATGTTGGAGAGGTTGGCCCTGGAGCCCTCTGATTGGTCCCGGCTGGATTCGACTTCCAAGGCCCTTGAAGGCGTAGGACAATCCCAATGATGGAAGTTCCAGCACAGCTCTTAGGCCCCAGAGGAGCCCAAAGAGGCGCGGGAGCAGACTGGGGGCGATGGAATCTCAGGTCTGGGGATTTTCCTTACTCATGGACCTGGGGGGGCTATGCCTGGGACAAGCCAATGGCCTGGTTGAGGCAGCCCAGTGTACCTGCGCTTGCCTTTGGAGCACATCGGTAGAGGCCATCGGACCTTTGACAGCTTTGAGTGCTAGTGATAACTATGGCAAATCGGATTTGGGATCGCTGGATGGGAAAAGAACAATAAGCTGAAGGAGGAAGGAAAGCGAAGAAGAGAAAGAGACAAGGCAAATGCGAAAGCAACAAAACACACAGGGCGCCTCGTTCCTTCCAGAGAAGTATCTGGAAGGCTATTCAGAATGTGTCACTACGACACTGGAAAATCTGCCCCACTTGGAACTACATTGAGGGGAAGCACCTCTTCAACCATTGACTGCTGGCCCTATGCTTTCGGCCGTCCTAGTTCCTTGCTTCTGGGTTCACAGGATCCAGACAAGCTGATCCCGGTGAGACAATCGGCTGGATGCAGAAGGATCAGGATGGTTCTTAGCAAGCCAGCGACTGTTGTGACACCTTGCAATGGATCGCTGCTGGAGAGTTGCAATGCCGTGGCAATGAGGGCACAGGGCATTCAAGTGGTTTGTTATTGTTTAGCAGTCAATGCGCGATGTCTCATTTTGGAGGGTATCTTGTTCGGGGTTGACTAAAATTGGCACTAAAGGAGGACCGGACCACCCCATTTTGAAGGGTGCTTCATTGTGAGACAGACTCAGAGACCATTGATCTGGGCAAGTTAGCGGCGAGACTGTTGCTTTTGAGGGACTGAATATTGTAGTCCATCCAGATGCTTGTCCCGGGGCTTGCAGACGCCCAGCGTTGGGGCCAAAATATCGGGCGGAGCCCAAGTTTGGGCAATAGGATAACCGAGAGGCATGTGGGCATGAGTCAACAGTATTGAGCCGCCCCTCAAAGGGTCACTAAGTTTCTTTTGGACTCAATGACAAATAAGTCCCCCCTGTGTTACACAAGGGCCCATATCAACAAAAATCGTGACATCGCAAAGAGCCTTGGTGATTGGACGGATGAAGGGTCCTTTCTTACGTGTCTCCGATTTCGGGTTGATAAATGAGAACTCGCCGATAGTTTCATGTCGTTGGTGGATCTTCGAGCAAATCTTGTGGATGGAGATTCTTGACTCCTAGGTGTTTGTCGCATGCCCGGCGCTGTGAAGCTTACTGCGGAGCACCCCCCCTTTTTTGTGAGGAGTTTACCCTTGCCGCGCTTGCCAACCAGCCAAAAGGGCCTTTTGGGAAGCATTCTGATGTAGTCCATGTAGTCCATGCGGAAACCCCGATTCACGCGTTCTGCATGTATGCCAAGTGCAGCTGACGAGGCTTCTTACGAGCAGATTGCAGCAGCCTTGGCGCTTCTGCAGCAGGTGAGGAGGGGCTGATTTAAATGTGTCCCAAGGCAAAACCCAACACATGTTTGTGGATTTATATACCTGCGAGGTGGTCCGTTTCTATTCTAATTTGAGGAAACCAAGCATTGAAGACTCCAGCCAACGTCGCGAATTTTGGTTTCGAATTCAATGCGACAGGCTAAACCTCGTTTGGGCCTCGGAGGGATATTTTTTGTTTCACGTGCTAATGTCGAGGTTGAGGGGAAGCGACCCAGTTCTGCTTGTGGGGGGTGGGGGGTGGTTAGGGAGAGACCAGCCTCCAGTGTCAAAACACCTCGTGTCGCTCCAGTGATCCCGTTGACCCGCCGCCAGCGCTTCAGGGCATTTGTTTGAATACTTGCACAGTTCGGAGGCGCACTCTGTGGATTTCGTGGCAGCCAGGTCACTTTGTGCATGCGCCAAGCTTCTAATCCGTCCAGTGCACACGGTACACAGGTGCCAAGTGATTTGCTGAGACAGGACATGTGTTCTGCACCTGCGCCAATAGCATCGTCGCTGAGCTGACGGCGCTCAAACAACGCGTCACAACTTGACGAGTTTGCGGTCAGCACTGCCGCGTCTTGTAGCATAACTGAAAGAAGTTGCTACGGTTGATTCCTGAGATTGTTTTCTTTGTTGTGCGCGTACTTGCGATATGTGGAGAATGTTCCGTAGCTGGTTTACTTTGTGACTCTCAACAGTTTACTTGGTTTGGCTATAGAATTGCTGGATTCAGGCTCTATAGTATTATATATATATAGTATATTATTTGGTGGAGAAGCTACATGCATTTGATTGGAGGAATCGTGCTGATGACTTTCACCCAACCGAGTCATCCTGGTTTGGGAACGAGGCTAGGGATCTCCGAAAAGGACATTGAACGAAACGAGCCTACTTTTTTCTTTCGCGAATGACGCCTGATTCCCTGAGAGTGGACAACGGGACCCGCTCAAGGGGTTCCAGATAAAGGCTTCCGATCGCTTGCCAAAGGACAATTTGTGTGTTTTCTTTTCCTTTGGAAACCCGAAACCGTCTCGGCGCCGTGTTGGTTTCCCACCTAAAATTCGGCACAGTGTCAGGCCAAGGACCGGGTGGCGAAGCTGGAGGCGCGCCGTGGGGAACGGTCCAAGGAACACTGGAGCCGCCATTTTGGATGCACCACCCATTTTAGTCTATTTTACTGGGGACTGGGATGTTCACTGGGGGTACGGGGTTTTGGCCCATAGCCATGGCTATGGATTCATGGTGCGGGTTACACCCCTCCCAAATTGGCGGACATACAGACCTGCATCACCTAAGCGACGCCCAAGGGACCTTGGGCCTGGAAGCCCAGAGGGCTGGGCCAGCTGGTTCAAAGGTTACGACTCAAGTCCATTTGGTTTCCCATCAAGGTTTTTGGGGCTCAGTCTGAGGATGGGTGATGGTTCCAGCCAGTGCCATCCTGGCTCTCGCTCCGCTTTTGGCAGGGCTCAGCCTGAGCAACACTGTCCGCTTGGAAAGAGCTGTGGAGTGGATGTTGGCCGGGAGCCGATTGGAGTGGGACACAAGGGTGTCGAATGCGGATACGAGCCCATTGGCCAGGGTGAGCACTCGCTTTGGTGCAGAAATGGATGTGTCCTTTTGCGAGTACCCCCGTGTTCTGGTTTCAGACCCAAATCTATGGAATGGGAAGGCGCACGGCCGATAAAATAGACATGTTCCCTTCGTGGGTTCAAGAGAAATAGAGGATGTAGGGGGGGGCTCGTCTTTTCCAGACGTGCCAATCTCACTAATCCCACCCACCCAGCCAGCCAGCCAGCCAGCCAGCCAGCCGACCGACCGACCGACCGACCGACCAACCAACCAACCCAAACAACCAACCCAAACAACCAACCAACCCAAACAACCAACCAACCAGCCAGCCAGCCAGCCAGCCAGCCAACCAATCATTTAGGGTCTGTAAACCAAGCAACCATTTAGGGACTGTAAAAGCAAGCAACCAAGCAACCAACCAGCCATCTAGGCACTGTAAACCAACCAAGCATGCTAAAGGCACTGTAAACCTACCATGTATTGTTAAACAATCATGTCTCAGAAAGCGATGTTTCCTTGACCCTGTCTGACACACAAAGAGGACGGACCCCCCAACCCTTGCTGAGAATCCTGAAACCTGGTCAGCATGATCATTCGGTTTCCCCATGGAAACATGGATCCTTGGCGCCATTCGCAGGCGCAACGAAACGACGCGTGGAAGAGGCACCAGGAGGAGGCGGGCGGGCTCACTTTGCAGCTGCAAGCGAAAAGTTAAGCGCTGGTTTTGGTTGTCAGGCCTTTGTTTGTTTGACCCTTCTGGAGTCTAGGGGTTGGTTTGAAGGGTCCCCTATTTTGTGGTTCCAATGGGAGGAACAAGCGAGAGCTGGGCCTTTCCAACCATTTGGGCCCAAGTACATGGGGTGTGCAAAAACAAACGGAAAGGGTCCTGGTGCGGCCTGCCTTTTTGAGAACAACAAAACTCTACTGCTATTGGGTTGGATCTTTAGACTTTAGCTTTTTGGGAAATCAAGGGGTTTTCCACTAGACCCCCGCAAAGTTAGACACGCTTTGCAGGGGGTCAACAGCGACCAAGAAGAAGCCTTGAGTTTCCGGGAACAAAAAACAGCCGCAAAGGAACTGTTTTGAGAACCACGAAGAAACCTCGAGTTTCCACAAAAAACAACACGCCAGGTGGCGGCGCTGAGGGCCAGCCTGGAGAAGCAGCGGCGGGAGAGCTTGCAGCGCCTGCTGCTGCGCTTGGCTTGGGCCCTGGCAAAATGAAAAAAAAGAACCACACGGGTAGAAGAAGGGATAGTCCGGACCAAACGGTGCGGAAAGCCGCTTTTTGATTTGCATGGATTCGAGGAGGCCCTTTGAATTCCTGGTTTTGATTTGGGCGTGCGTGTTTTTGCTGGCCGGAACAACAAGAACTCAATACTCAATACCCGCAAGAAGAGGTCGCAAACATAGACCCTAGTGTCCACCATACGGGGGCGGGTTCTGCTGAACTGGGTTTGTCTGCCGAGAATCCACCAATGGTGGTCTTGGAACTTGCTTGTCACTTGGAACATGCTTGTTGTGGATGGTGCCGACAGAAAAGGCAAAAGGAAAGCAACACCATGTTTTTGGAGAGAAGAAAGGCAAAAGGAGATCAGCCAATTTGGGGTCTCCAACCCCCCCCCACCCCCATTTTTGAAAGTCTCTGAAATTGGTTGGTTTCCGTCCGGTGTCTTGGGCAACTTCGTTGGGAGCAAGTGATGCTCCGATGTGTTGCTCCAGGCAGACTCACCCCGCTCTGTTTTTGCTTTGTTCTCTCTTTCTCTCTTGCTCTCTTTCTCTCCTTCTCTCTTTCTCTCTTTCTCCTTTGTCTTTTTTCTTTTTTCTCTCGCTCTCTCTCTCCCCCCACACGCACACACACACAGACGTACACAGAGGACGTGTTTGACGGTTCATGCTGATTTTCAGGACAGTGCGTCCCTGGTCAGCTTTGTGTCGGTTAGCGGCGTTCAGTTTGCATCTACCACTGGGACCGTAATCTCACCACTGAGAGCTTCGAACGCCGGCCTTTTGGCGCCTAAGTGGATGATGTGTTGACTCGTCACAGGGTGCTCACAGTGAGCTCGGGGGGAGAGTCTGGGATGTATGTATTAATATTCAAACATATGTGCCATGGTCGAAGCACTGTTGGGATGACGCTCTCGAAAAGGGATTCTAGCCACCAATGTAAGGATCCCTAGAGCTGCAAGCCATAGCCAGGACTCAAGGACTCAAGAAGTTTTGGCCATGGCCCGTCTTGATGGCCCGCCTTGTCCAAGTTTCTGGGTCCCGTCGCCAGCGGCGTTTTGCGCTCTCTTGTCTTTGATTGGCTGGGAAAAGGCGTACCCGAAACCCCCACGTGTTCTCAAGCCGAAGGTTCTGTTCCGTTCTCTCGGCATTGAAATCCGTCGGATTGCGCCGAGCAGCCAAGTGACAAATCTTAAAGGCAAAGCCCAAGGTTTCCCAGGAAGTTTAGGGCAACGGCGAGTCTCAAAATCCCATCGGCTTGCTTTTGGCTTTCCTTTTGGAGCCGACATCCGATGAATAGCTTAACCCGCCGATCAGTGGCCCAGAATTGATTTCTTCCCCTTGATTGGAACGCGGCAGGGGTTTCCCTCTTTTGTCCTCGATTTTACTGTGGATTGCTGGTGGGACGCGCAAAAGAAGAAACAACACATCAGTTGTGACATGTTCCTTTTTCCAGTTGCCCTTCCCCAATTTCCAAAACCGAAGCCCTCTTTGAACCAACTTCCTCGAGGTGAGGCTACCCTCGAAACCACGCGGGTCACGGTGAAACCGGCGAACGGGACCATTTTGCTTGGGAAGTGCGAGGCTCCCCCGGGCTTCAGGAAGCCCTGCCCAGGCAGGTTATCGATCGGACCTTCGGCGTGCCATTTTTTTCTTTTCTTTTTTTCGGGGTGCGGGACCCGAAATGGCTTCAGTTTTCTTTCCGGCTTTTCAAATCCACCAAAAAACTGGTACCAACTCAAACAAAAGCAGAGCCAAGTGCCCAAGTTCATCCAGAAAGCACAAGGGCTGGATCAATTTAAAGTTAAGGACATTTTGTTGTTGCACGTAGTTGTTTGCACCTTTACCTTAAGAGTCACATTTGACGACACAGCAATTCAACCAGCCGCCGGCCTTCCGTGGTTGGTCTTTTCCAGAGTCGTTGAAACTAGTTGAAACAGCATTCCCCCAGTGCCAGCGGTGCCTAATTTGACACACTGCACACTACCAAGTGAGTAGCTTACGAGCTCTGAAGCTATGTTCTGCCACATTGCGCGGGCTTCATGGCTTTTTGTGTTTTTCCGGGGGCAAACGACAATGCCGCCTATTGTTGACCTGACTCCCATGGGTCCAAATGCTTTCCATGAAGTCCGTGTGTGCCCCAAAAAAATAGGGGCCCCCTTTTGGATGGCTGAAGGGGACCACCAAGAAACCAGCTTCAAACTTTGGAAGCACCAATGTTGGTAGATGCAGGTACTTTAAGTTACACGGTGTGGTTGGTCCGCTTACCCATGCACCTCCCTCTCTCTCGCTCCCTCTCTCCCTCCCTCCCTCCCCTCCCTCCCTCCCTCCCTCCCTCCCTCCCTCCGTCCCTCCGTCCCCTCTTGTCCCGTCTCCTCCTGTCCCGTCCCCTCTCGTGCTTGCTCGCGCTTGCTCGCGCTCTCGCCCTTGCCCTCGCCCTCGCCCCCTTCCACTCCCTCTCTCCCTCTCTCCCTCTCCCTTGTCTCTCTGTCTCTCTGTCTCTCTGTCTGTCTGTCTGTCTGTCTGTCTGTCTGTCTGTCTGCCTGCCTGCCTGCCTGCCTGCCTGCCTGCCTGCCTGCCTGCCTGCCTGCCTGCCTGCCTGCCTGCCTGCCTGCCTGCCTGCTGTCTGTCTGTCTGTCTGTCTGTCTGTCTGTCTGTCTGTCTGTCTGTCTGTCTGTCTGTCTGTCTGTCTGTCTGTCTGTCTGTCTGTCTGTCTGTCTGTCTGTCTGTCTGTCTGTCTGTCTGTCTGTCTGTCTGTCTGTCTGTCTGTCTGTCTGTCTGTCTGTCTGAAAGGTTTCCCTTTAGACTCAACTGTGAGCAAAAGTTACCTTCCTTTTGTCGTGGCCACTGGTCCATCAACGACACTCTCAAAGAGAGGGGTAGTTATTTTAGGATTTGTTTTGTCGCTTTTGGCTTCTTGGCTTCTTGGCTTTTCGGCTTTTTGTTGGTTTATGCGGCTTTTGGTTCCTTTTGGCTTTGGCTTTTCGCAGCCTCTGTGCACCCTTTCATTGGTTTTTGGATCTGGCTTCCCGCATCATCAGCATCGCCAGTTCCTCCCTAGTTGATTCATCACTTCTTCGAAAATCATGGGGGGAGAGTTTGCCCCCAACCCACCCGCTACTCCCCGCTACTTTTTACATTTCTTGCAGAGATTGAATTGCACCCCGCGTCCCATTTCGCGAGAAAATGCTGCACAATACGACATTTTCGGCAATCTGTGTAATCCATGTATGTCTGTATGTATGCACTTCTTCAAACATCATAGGGGAAGCCACCCCCGCCAACCCTCCCGCTCCCTTTCGCACCCTTTCTTGAATCATTGCACCCCTACTTGAATCATCACTTCTTCCGACATCATGGGGGGGCCTGCCGCCCCACCCCAAACCCCCCGCTACGTGTTAGATACAGAGATTTAATTGCACCCCTAGTTGAATCATCAATTCTGCGAACATCATGGGGTGGGCTGCCGCCCCCCCCAACCAAAAAACCCCCCTCTAGTTTTTGCACTTTTTGCAGAGATTTCCCCAACCCCCCCGCTACTTTTTTTTACAGGGAATCAAATGCCCTCCTGTTTGAATCATCAGTTTTTTGACCCCGTCAACCCGCCAGCTACTTTTTGGATTTTGTTACCCACGATTGTTGGTGATGCTAGGGATTTTGGTCGGACATGCGGGGGATGTTGAAAACGATGCTGGGGATGTTGACGGGCTAGTGTAAAATGCGCCGATTTCGCGAGAAAATGCTGTAAACCACGACATTTCACTGGCCCGGACGAAAAGCAAAAACACAAAATCAAAAAAAAAGCAAAAAACACATCCCAAAATGAATCCGCACCCCTCTCAAAGATACCCCTCAAGAACCCTTCGCTTCGAGGTTCGCTGGCAAGTCCGGTGCCCACGCCGCGACCCCAAATGGATGGGCGAAAGACGGCGAAACCGTCAGAGAGAGAGAGAGAGAGACAGAGACATGGCTGTGCTTGTTCTTTCTGGCTAGTGTCTCTTGAGACATTTGCATTTTCAGGTTCACCAAACGACCAAAGTCAGGCAAATGTTTCTTGGTCGGTTGCATTTTCAGGTGCTAAATATTTGCGTTTTTTGAGGGGATGAGGTACTACTTGAGCTGCATGGGAAGTTCGATCGTGGGATTTCCCTTTCTGTGATGCATTGGGCATTCTGTTGAAAGCTGAGTATCACAGAAAATCATGGAACAGAGCTGGGCTGTCCTAAATGTGAACAAACGTTCTCAAAACGGGGTGGGTGTCATGTCCACTACTTTTCAAGGGGTATTTTTGAGAGTGCTATCATAAGATGTCAAAATCACCGCCTTTCAAGAAACCTCCTACGCCTCGAATGCACCTTGCATTTGCTCCTCAAGACTATGAGCATTCAAAACTGTTTGGACAATGACTGTTCCTCAATATTATGTTTTCATTCAGCAAAGTTGAGCTTCCAGAAGTGGGGCGTGGCTCGTTGCTTTAGGGAACTCCGGTTTGGTGGGTTTGAGCCCGTAGGGGTCTAATTCAGAGGTTGATTTGGCTAATCTGGCACAATTCAGTTTGGTGCTAAAGAAGCATACTACGCATTTTGTTTAACGTCTATGCAACCACAAGTGCACGGGAATGGCAGAATATTGCTTTGACCAGACCTCTTTTTGACCACCCAGTTTGTGAGGTTTGCGAGATTGCCCGAAAGGCTTGCTTTTGGCACCTCAGGTTACGTTCACACTCACACATGGTGTTTTCATCACAATCGCGATGTTTCCACATTTTGAGAAAACGATACATCTTGCAAGGTTGATTTGTTGTAATGGCCTTTAGTTGTTCTTTGTACCGCATTCCCAAGCACCAATAGTCTCCTTTTCGGACTTGACACTCTCATGCAAGGTTGAACTGCCCAAAGCTTCGCCAGGGCATGTGGCCATGCCCCTTCCATATGGGGTTGTTTCAAAATCGGGGACCCAACAAAAAGGTTGGTTTCCTTTGGTTTCTTATTAAAACCAACCAGAAGAAGGTAAAACAGGAGACCCCCCATATGGCCATCAAGCGGCACTTTTTCCTTGTCCGAGGCGGGGGATACTCTCTGGAAATAGAGTCGCTCCGAAGCAGCTGACCAAGTCTCCGGCCGTCGAATTTCGGTCAACTTTCACCTTTGACTGCCCTCGCCGACTTTGTTTCGCCAAGTTTGCGAGCTCTCGCCACTTTTTCGACCTAAAAGAGGGGTCCAACAAGAGCAACCAAAGATGAGCCACGATGAAAACTGGGCAATACGGAGGCCTTAAATCCGCTTCACACCAGTTGGCAGTGGTGTATCCCGATATTTGCAGGGTTTTTCAGGGTTTCCAATATTAAAACTTGGTAATTTGGCGCAAGTCCCGGCTCATTCCGTACCAGGCCCCGGCGGGCACGCAAGGCTGCCCAGGCCGTCACGACTTCGGGGTGGTTACCAGGCAATCTTCTGCAAGAGCTCACCGCATGAGCAGAATCGAATCAGGAATGTTGACCCAGATCCAAGTGCAACCCGTCCTATTAGGGGGGTGTTCCCCTCCAAAAGTGATGAGTTCCCAAACGGATACCCCCTGTGAGTAATCTGGGTTGATTAATCCGTACACATCACCCTGAAATGGCACGGCTTTGTGAACAGGGGCGGGGAAAGGCCAAGAAACGGGTCGAACGGGATGGGTTCAAAAGTGACGCTCTACGCTGGCATTGACATGCGCTCGTTTCGGCCGGAGCTCCGTCTTTTAGGTGAGAGAAGCAGATCAATCTGTTCCTGTCTTCGGGTCTGACTGTTGAACAGCACATAACAGCACCCTGCACGGATCCCAACCTCACTCCTGGACCCATGCGAAAAAGAAGCGCGGGCTCCGATAGGAGCCTCAAAAAATCACTCTCCGGGTTCCAAAGGCAGGACCATGTTGACCCTTTCTCAGAGCTCCGAGGTCAGAAGGCTTGGATGGAGAAATGTGTCACCCCCTAGGGGTCCCGAATGGATTGTTTTTTCGAGGTATGCCAGGTTCAGCCAAAAGCAGGTGGCAAACAGATGCTTGCTTCTGCTTGTATTGCCAATCCTGGGACTTTGGCACTCCTGCTCTCCTTCGCTTCATTGGCGTTTTCAAGCTGGACCTGTTCTACATCCTGAGGACTAGGTAGCCCATAAATCTAAACTGTCCAATAAACACTAAAAGGGGATTGATTACAAAACATCCGAAACCTCGCATTTTCCAGCACCAGGCCAGTATCTCTAGGAGTCCGCAAATGAAATGAGAACGGCCCATTCAGTACCCGGAATCTTGTTGCCCAAAAAGAACGCGATGAAAGTACCAGTCACCACTCTGATTCCTGGCTTTGTCTTACTTTTGGAGGGTGCCCTTTTCGATCGGAAGCCAACTCAACAAAAAATATCATACAAACAACATGTCGGGGTCCATTGTTGGGTGCCAACTCCCTATTTGTTGGGTCCGAATCCCTATGTTGCCGAGCCATACCCATTTGGCACGTCACAGGTGGTGGAGCAAGGCCGGCCCGAGCCGGTGACGCAGGCGGGAAGGCTAACCCTCCACAAAAATAATCCGGTCGAGTAGTGCCCCCCTTCTTTGGGGGGGTTAATCTTTGCCTTTTCGGCGGATTGAAGTTGAGTTTCCTTCGGGATGATGTTTCAGGAGAGCCCTAAATCACCCCCAACTTATGTGCCGGGGGGTCCTTTTCAGTGGAAGATCTTTCCTTCCAGGAAGAATGCGAGAAGTTTCTTTAATCAGGGATCAACATTGGGGGAGACCCAACAGAACGGACCAAAGAGGGAGCCGGGGTTTTTAGATCAGAGTTGACCAGCTTTGGACGCTACTTCCCGCGACCACTGCAGTGAATGGCATCGCGGATGGGCGAACGAGGCTTAAGGTGGCTCTCAACGTAACCTGTTGAATCCTTTGTAACTGTTGTAGGGGATGTGCAACGTTCAACAGGACACCAAACTGTAAGATGATACAGAAAAAAAAAAAAAAAAAAAAAAAAACATCAGACAGCGCCGGCTTCTTTTCAGTTGAACTTTCACAGCACTGACTTTGATTCCGTTGATATTGCTCTGCATCTAACCTGCACACGAGCCAAGGTCTGACTTACATACCCCGAATGGGCAGGTTTGCTTTCTGCCATCCCTTTTTGGGGAGAAGCCCGGGGAATGCCCCCATCCTGGACCCTCCGCGTCACCTCTCTATGCCTGGAACCCTCCACAGAAAGGCAAGGTCCTTCCCACCGGAGGGTGCCCTGTTTGGCAAAACGGGATCGAGCTAGGAGGCGAAAAGCTTGTGGTGCTTGCAACCCACGATCGAGCTCACTTGCCAAAAAGTCCTGGGGGGCCTTTTCGTGGCCGAAGGCGCCATGCGCGGCAAGTTAGAGGCGATTCCATCCAGGCAGTCCGAGGCATGAGAAGTCGCAAGCAGTAGCCAAATGTAACTCCCTTGCAAGACCTTATGTGGGCTTGGGCAACCAAGAGAGCGTGTCTCAAAATCAAGGTCCCATATATATATATATATATATATGGGTCTGTGTTTTTTTACCGTGTCAGTTCTTTAGTCTTCGTGGGAGGCGGGGCTTGGGCGAGCCATACCCCCGAATCATACCCCGAACCATACCCCCGAGCCATACCCCGAGTCATACCCCTTAAAAAGCACACAAAAAAAGAACTTGCAAGAACTGTGGCATTTGCATGTGATCCATGGATAGCTGGAAGCTATAGTTATAGGGGGTTTAACTTCAAGTGAAGAAGGGGGTCTTGTCAAGAAACAGTGTTAGAGAGCTTGACATGTGGACCGATGCCAGGGGGTAGGGACTCCGAGGTAATACCTGTATTCTTGAGTCTGCGATGCTTGCATGGTTGGGCTCTGATGTCATGGGGCCAGGTACAGTTGACATGTCCACTCACACACTCACTGGTTACTCGTGGGGGGCCATTTTGGCTCAAGTGGTGTTCCTTGACACTTGGTTACCCACCTCGTTCTCGGCTTGCTATTTTCAATGCAAAGTGCCATTGGATGGAGTTATAGAGCAATCCTGCGAATGTTCTGGTACTAGAGTTGTCTGTAGCATCCGTGGTGCTTTGGCGGGGGGTGCAGCTTGAAGTAAGACGCTGGGACTTGCAGGGCGCTGTAGCGTGGGGTGCCGCTGCTGAGCTTGAAACTTGGAGCTTGCTTCCCGCAGTCTGTCCGACGCGGTGGAAACAGCTGTCTGTCCTGGGCCACTGTCGCAGTGAAACACAAGCTGTCTTTGTGCTCCTGGGGTACTCTTGGTGTCTTTCCGGTCGAACCCAAGCATTCCTATATGACCGCAGAACAGAAGCAACAGCAACGAGATGCCAAGGCAAAAGCAAAGCAAATCCGGAATGCAAGAAAGAGTTCAAGTCCTTAGTTGGAAACAATCTGTTCCCCGATTAATACCCCCGATTCATACCCGATTCATACCCCGATTCATACCCTTCTGCTGCCATTTGCAGCCAAGAGCCTCTTGCGCTCTGGGCAGTACTAGCGAAGCTATGCCGCCCGAATCCTCAGAAGACACAAAACTCAAAGAGAAGCACTGCAGGAACCAGCTCGCGGCTCTTTTCGCAGAAGTTCACCAGAAGGTGGGTTCGGAAGGCTTACTGCGATGTACCAAGCGCGACACGGTACACCACCTGTAAGAGGCCCACTGGCCTTTGAGGATGTCACGCTGTCTTGCCCTTACGCTGGTTCGTGACTGGTGCGGGTGGCGGGCCTGACTGGGCAGCGGCGCTTCCCCTTAAGCAACGCTTGCTTGGGTCTGTGAGCACGCAGGTCGCTTGAACTCCAAGTGGAGGTGTCCATGACGTTCGCCTCAGGCAGTGGCCCTGCGCCTTCCACCTAGCGCAGCAGCTTTCGGCTTTCGCTAACCCGCCACTCACAAGCGCCCCAGGCTGGCTTGTAGCAACTAAGCGGTCGAAATTCTCACGGCTATCCAGTTGCCAGCGCACGGGAGCTTTGCAGTGTCCAAAGCCACAAAGCAAGAGTTCAGAGGCGCGCGAGCCATACCCCGAATCATACCCCCGAGCCATACCCCGAACCATACCTGCGATTCATACCCCTTATACCAACCTCCCGGCACGGCCACGTCAAAAAAACACATACCCATATTATATATATATATATACCTGGACCACCCAAATCGGCAGAAGTTTCTGCCTTTTTGGAAAAAGGCGCCTTTTTGCTGTTGGCGGCGTTTTTAGTTTCCCTGGCAGCGTTTTTTTCAAAATCAAGTTCGGTGCAAAACAGGCAGCAGCAGGAAATCGGTGGAATTCGGCGGGAAATCGGCGGAATTCGGCGGGAAATCGGCGGAATTTCGCGGAAGCAGGTTTCAGCATGTCGGAGTGTTTGTTGCGTTTCGGCTTTTTTTCTTGCGGGCGGCGTTTTTTGGTCTTTTTGGCGGAAATTTCTGCCGCCGGGGCCTTTCGGCAGAAAGTTCTGCCGCCGGAGGGTCTATATATATATATATATATATGTATACAGATGTTAATATACGCCAGTCTTGTGCAGCTTGCGTACATGTGGCAACCGCTACATGTCCGGTACAAGGCCTTGAGCCTACCTCTTGCCCCAGATACAAAGAGTGCTACAGTGCCGAGTCGTTCACATCACAGGTTTACACTTTCAGGTAACAACAGTTCAGGTTCACTTTAACATGGTAGCGGAGCAGTGGTCCCTGGTCGCCCCTGGCACACGATCCACGACCACAACCCAGGGTGAGCTCCAACTCGCGCCCACAGGTTCAGGTACACAGTACTGAGTATCATGGCACAACAACAACAACAACAACAACAGCAACAGCAACAGCAACAGCAACAGCAACAGCAACAGCAACAGCAACAGCAACAGCAACAGCAGCAACAGCAACAGCAACAGCAACAGCAACAGCAACAGCAACAGCAACAGCAACAGCAACAGCAACAACAACAACAACAACAGGAGCAGCAGCGGGAAGGAATCCACAGATACAAGATATCACCACCACGGTTCACGGGAGACTACAGCACCTTCGAGGAATGGAAATACAAGATGACAGCATACCTAGGACTACAAGACCCAGCGTACAACAGACTGCTAAGACAGTCAGAATCAACAGGACAAGTTACAAACAACCAACTGGAGAATGCAGCACCTTCACAACCAGTTGCAGAGCAATGGATACAACTGAGCAACAACTTGTACCACCTCTTAGTGAGCACATGCGATGGACCAGCATCTACAATTTGCAGACATTACACACGAGGCAACGGCTTTGAAACATGGCGACCGACACATGCAACGCATTCCATACCACTTGGAACAAGAAGCATTGGACACCTCACACGGCTACTAAAACCACAACTGGATGAACAGAAGTTCGAAGAGGGCTTCACAACATGGGAGTTCCAACTCTCCAAGTGTGAACAAGACAATAACACACTACTACCAGACGCAGTCAAGATTGCAGTACTGCTCAATGAGACAAAAGGACCACTACAACAACACCTACAGTTGCAAGCAGGAAACATCACAACATATGCACAGATCAGATCCATAGTGATCGAATACTACAGAGCAACAGCAACCTTCACCAGGCTACAAGCAATCACATCAGGCAGCAACAACCAAGGACCGGCACCGATGGATATAGGAGCACCATGGTACAGCAAAGGCAAAGGAAAGAAGGGCGAGCGCAAGGGCAAAGAAAACCACAACAAAGGCAAAGGCTACGGGAGCTACGGGAACAACCACAACTACAAAGGAGGAAAAGGTAAGTGCAATCAACAACCGGTTGGACAAGGAAATCCTTTCAAAGGACAACAAGGATATGGCAAAGGAAAAAGGATACAACAACAAAGGAAAAGGAAAAGGATACTACAGCAACCAAAAGGAAAGCATGCAACAAATGTTTGCTACAGATGCGGCCAACCAGGACACATGGCTACACAATGCAGAGTGGCGATCTACAACTGCGACACTGGCAACTTCGACACCAAGGACCAGACAGATGACTGGTACAGTCAATCACACTATGACAAGAACTGGTACCACCAGGATCAGACACAGATGCAACAACTTTCATTGCCACAACCACCACAGCTAGCTGATCCATCACTAGTACCCATCTCAGGATTACATGAAGTAACAATTGCCATGGTTGGTACAGCGCAGCAACACACAGAGGACCACAAGCGAGTCAGTCTTATGACTGACAGTGGTGCGGCTACACATGTGTGCCCACCATGTTTTGCTCAGGGCAGTGACCAACCAACGCATCAAGCTCTTTGGGCACAGATGGGCTTGCATGACAAACCACAGTGGACCACAAATTGTCATACCGTTTTACGTTTGTGACGTTAGACAGCCAATTCTTTCGGTTACAAGGCTGGTGGAACAAGGTTTCCAACTTACACTGGATGACAATCCAAGGCTACAGCACACCAAAGGGTTCAGCAGCACGTTGGAGAACAGAGATGGCCTGTTCTTCCTACAAGCAGAAATCACAACATTGCCAAAAGGAACAAAGCTCCAAATACACAGCACGGAACAAGGACAGATTGGCATGATAGCACCGACCACAACGCTTACACCACAAGGTCCTGCAGATACAGGATATGCAGGAGACTACTGGCAGTTCAACGCACAAGGCGAACCATCAATAACACAGTGTCCAGTCCCAGCAGAACAACTTGAGGACTACAGGAGAACAACCGTCAGACCCAAAGATGGTACAACGAACACGTTTGAGGACAAGTACCAAACAATGGAAGAGCCAAACAAAGCACAACAGCAAATATGGAAAGGAGAAACAGCATTCAGGATCAAGAAAGGCACAACATTGCCAGGGACACTACAGCAACAGTTCGCAACAAAGACACAGCCAAAGAGTGCACCGCAAAAGGTCACACCACAAGTGACTCATTCCAATCCAAGGACACGATTGAGAGAGAAAACAACTCCACCAACAGTTCAGGATCCAGCAGCAGCAGCACACACGCAACTGGACAAGGACTACCACATCCTTCAGAGGTACATCCTGGAGGAGACCACTGGTACAGAGAAGGTACTGGAAGAGAGTACATGTGAAGCCTCGCGCAGCGTTCTACATAACAGAGCAGTCACACGCGGTGATTATGAGTGACACACGCGTTGAAATGCAACACTCTACAACTATGTCGACATCATCTATAGGCGGCTTGTTGGCAAGATACAATGGCTAGCACACACACGGCCAGACATCAGCTATGGAGCAAAAGAACTAGCAAGATCACTACAAGCACCAACACCACCTGACAACAAGAAGCTCGAACACATGATCAGGTACCTTAAAGGAACAAGGTACATGCGACACAACCTACGACCAAAGGTACAAACACAGGACAAGCGAATTCCACTCAACATTGACACATACACAGATGCCAACTGGGCATCACGCCAGACAACAAGGAAGAGCACAACAGAATTCGTGCTATACTTCTTTGGAGCAGCGGCACACTATGGCAGCAGAACCCAAGCAACAATAGCACTTTCATCAGGAGAGTCAGAGCTGTACGCAATTGGTACAGCAGCGCAGGAAAGTCTCTACATCAGCAACTTCATCAAGGAAGCATTGGAAGTACGCACCAACATCAAGAGACACAGACAGCAGCGCAGCAAAATCAATCGCAGCTGCGACACCTCTTCACACAACAACGTGTTAAGAGCAAAACCATCACAATGCGCAAGGTAGAATCAGAAGACAATCCAGCCGACCTTCTTACCAAGTTTGTTTGCGACACACTCAACAAACACATGTACACAGTTGGTCTGTGAGGCCATCGCACCAGTTTCACACCAGTGAGCACAGTTTGTTAAACAACAGTTGCGCGGTTCTCACACGTGTTTGTTTCACAATAAACGGCCGGCACACATGTTTTAGATTTAGATTTAGGTTAGATACAGCCATGGATCAACCCTGAAGCTTCTACAAGCCCTTTTACATCTTTTGGTACACATCGTTTGCATGACATTCTGCGCATGTTTCTGACAATAGTTCAGTGCATGCTGCGGCCATTTACACCTGCAGTCTTACAGGAGCTTTTAGGCATTTAGCCTCTACATCGAGGGCTCAGCGTACAAGACTTTGCACACTCCGATGACAGTGCCAGAGGGCTTCGCGTTGGAGCCGGTAGATGTCATCATTCCGATTAAAGTGGAGTCCCAGGAATACACCACTTTGATGATTCCACTTACAGTGGAGCAATACAATTTCATGACAACAACTGTCACAACGGAGGTGAACCAGGTACAGAAGATTCCCGGTTACACGCGGTGACCCACGAACTGTTCAGAAGGTTTATGAGAAACGGGTTACAGTGAGTGCGCATGGATCTTGACACCCACTGAACAGGCATCCGGAATTTTCTACAAGCTGACAGGTCATATCACGAACCTGCGCAGGAACTACACTCTGACCAAAGGTTACATCATCCTTCAGCACATCATCATTCCGATTGAGAAGGCTTGACAGGATCCACGCAGGATTTTCGATGGCGCTGAACCATCATACATGTCCTGCAGCACAGACCATTTCTGAGCCGCTGAACACTGGTCATCGAACACATCGTTCAACATGGAACACAGCTGATGGGAAACAGCACGGACTTGATCCCTGGACAGATTGGGTACAGCGCTTGCAGGAGGTTGACAGCGCAATGATCTTGTCACAGCAGCAAGGCTACAAGCTGCTAAACGAGAAGAATGTGATTGATGATAGCGCCTGAGTACATCATGTACATTTGCCACGATGGCACACCGCAACTTGTGGTACAATTGATCCGACAGCAAGGGAAATTGTTGCACAGGACATCTGCATTCTGCTGATCAGCTTACATGCAGTGGACCTTACATCATCCCGACCCACAAGGACATTTGTATGTTTCTTTGCAAAGCGTGCTGACCCCCAGCACAATTTGAGGAGGGGTGTTAATATACACCAGTCTTGTACAGCTTGCATACATGTGGCAACCGCTACATGTCCGGCACAAGGCCTTGAGCCTAGCCCTTGCCCAGATACAAAGAGTGCCACAGTGCCGAGTCGTTCACATCACAGGTTTTCACTTTCAGGTAACAACAGGTTCAGTTCAGGTTCACTTTAACAGATGGCCGGCTTCCGCTTAGTTTCCCTTTTCGCAACCCCAGGCCCAGGGACCCTCAAAGACTCACCTACTCACCCAAGGCCCTTGCGACTCAGGCAGCGAGCTTGGGCGACAGCAGCGGATGAGGCTTTTGACTTGTGAGGTTTGACTCAGATGGGCCCATACGGTTGGGATGCAAAAGGCTTGAGCGGCAGATCTTCATTTTATTTGGCTCAACTCCGGGGGGGTCCAAAACTTTTTGGGGAAACAACAATCTCTGGCTCAAGTTTGCCTTGAGGTTTGCTCAGAAAATGAACCCTGATGAAGGGGCCCCTGATTGACGGGTTTTGTCAAGGCTGCTTTGAGCTCCTAATCATACCCTTCCGTACATGGTATGGATACCAACAGCTGGACGTCCATGGATTTGCATTTCAGATGATAGAAAAGGCGCTTCACCACAGTGTCCCATTGGTATTTCGGCAAAGTACGAGACTTTGAGTTGTTCACTATTGGCTTTTGTTTGAGCACCATGGCGGACACGCCCATAACTTTCTTGGTCCACGTCTGGATTTGGTCGAGAAGTTTGGCGATACCGTCTGGAAAGCCCCCCCCTTGTTGCTTTTGGTTGAAGGGAAACAAACAAGCAGGCCAAACAGTTTAGGGGTCTATGGTAGGAGGCCATGCTCATTCGATTATTTACAGTGATTGTTCACACCAACCTCAAGGCTACACTCAAGCAGCACACCATGACACCTGGAGTGCTTCAGCTTCGGGCGTGGGATCGGATCGATCGATGAGAATCAAATTGGCAAGTGTACAGAGATCCCAGGATTTCTATGAACACCGAGGAAGCGCAGGGTTAGCTCATTCAGTGTTTGCTGGCTCCCTTGGGCGAGTCAAGCGCACGAACTTTGTTCAGCTCTGTGGAGTGGTCGACTTAGCCAGCGGAGATGGTTTTGTAAGTTTGGCGTGCAAACACCGAAGATCCCGGTGTATTTAGGAATCGCTTTCAGGTTTTGGACATGTAAACATGGCGGATAGTTTGCTCCCTGGCTTCCACCCTGGGTTCTAAATGGAGAGGTTTAAAAAGGGCCCCACTCAAAAATGGTTCGTAGACTAAACCCCCCAAGTACATGATGTCGACCAAAGGGTCTGAACTCCGCTCAAAATTGGTTGGAGATAGATCGCAAAAGATCAAACAGTTCCAGGCACGTGACATTCAGATACAACTTTGCCATTCAAAGAAGTAACCTTTGCACAAGACCAAAAGGGAACCACCACTTTTTGGGGGCAATGTTCAGGTGATATTCATCCCAACTCCTCACTCCTCAGTTCCTAGACTTCATATTTGGGAAGGCAATTGTGATACTTGACCACTCAGGAAGAAACACCCTCGGATGGATCTTGAATCTACATTTTGGTTCAAGACACTTCACGAAGACGTAGGCACGTCTTAGAGCTTCCCATCCGGTTACGGAATTCTGGGGGTGGTTTCACTGGGTCCCCGCGCGAGCGCGGCGCGAGCCCAGCTCCGCGGTGACCTTTCACTCGGATTTTAGGTGGCGTGCCGACGGGGCATGGAACCTCTCACGATCAGTTTGCTGGGAGCTTCTGGTGCAGTATCTCTTTTGTGGCATTTGTTGATTTTAGGTGCACGCGACTTTTGTTGGAGATTCTATCATGCTGTGAGTTGGAGTCAAACCCGAAGTGCGGAATCCTTTTGGGGGGAAGGCGAGGGTAGTCAGTTTGGTGGCTTTCTGAGGCGAGAGAACATGCCCTGGCCCGGCATTTCGGGCTCAGCTCGCAAAGGGCCACTCGCGAGTGGAACATATCTCCCGGGCAAAAAAGGTGCCCAGGAATCTGCAGCGGCGGTTGATGCCAAGTTGCGGCGAGTTCAGACAACTCGTCAGCATGGGGTTGATGTACTTGCAGGAAAGGGTGCATCAACCGCACTTCAGAGCTTGCCCAAAGGAATGTTTGTGCGCCTTGGCGCCGCCAGTGAAGGCAAGTTCTCTAATTCGAGGAGTTGGAGTGGGAGGCCGCAAGCGAAACAAGCGAGCGTATGCCTTGCGAAATACTGCTGGCAGTTGAGCCACTTGCTCAAAACCCCGTGTAGACGAAGGTTCGTAAGGGATAGTCCCCTTGCCATAAATGGGTGCAGCCGCCGGTCTTTCCACGGTTCTGGGTAGACCATCGAAATACCGATCGGTTTTGATTTTGACTCCAGCTGGATTTTATAAGGACCAGGAAGCAGGCATTGGGAAACCGAGCCTATATTGGGCTCGTTGAGTTCAAGACCGGCGGCGAAAGAAGCGGCGACAACTTGGGTTTTGGTTCCTTCCTGGAGCAAGCGGATAGTCTCAGAGTTTACACAGAAGTCACTTCCCCAGCGGGCGGCTTGCAAAATGGGGCATGTACTTTTGATAGTGTCTACATATATATATATACACGATTGCACAGGCGGTGGGCACTTACCCCATTCTCTCACTAGAGGAGGTGGTTTTGGGGTAGTTGACACCATCCTACATAGCCTACACATTTCAGAAAGCCTAGATAGCCTACACATTTCAGAAAGCGCTGAACCGAGTCGGGTGACAGGGAAGAACTGGGGCCATTCAAGAACGGCTTGGCGGTTTTCTTGCAATAGGGCATCGGTCCGTGCGGTAGATGGCACCAGTTGGTAGGTGGCTTGTACCAGTATTCATAGGGGTTCACTCATGCCAACTGGTGCTGAATTTTGCCCATCCACAGCATGACTGCTTTGCCACTTGCCAGGAGTTTCGCTTGATTTCATAGAAAGTACAGCAACAACAATACCCACAAAAACACGGTAATTGCAGTAAATGTGGGGCACCCCCCTTGTTCCCCGGCAATAGTTGCTAGCACATCCGTAGAACAGGACGGTATATCGGAAAGCTTGGGCTCAAGCGCCGCGTCGCCGAGTCATCCGTTGAGTCAGCCATGAGCGCCGCTGCCTCAGTCCGAAGCCATTGAGTGACGCACGTTCTTGCGCTTGAATCAAGGGCGCAGGATCGAATCGGAGTTTCACAACTTGAGTCAGGTTCCCAAGTGGAAGGTTGAATCGACTCCCCGAAACAAAAAAAGGAAAACACAAAAAACCAACTTGTTTGAACCCGCAAACAAGTTCAAATGGGTCCGGAAGCACAGGCCTTGTTGATGGGGAAGGGAGTATTAATGAAAGATCAACACGCAAGGACCCCCGCGTCAAGCTGGCCGCTTTCTTCCCGTGCTGTGGTACATCTTGAGGGGTACGCGATTCTGCCCTTGCCAAAGCGCACAACCTTTCGGGCAGGGGCGGGGAGTCCCGCTTGTGACCAACTTGCTCAACTAATATGTTGGAAACCAGTCGGGTTTCCGTTCTGCTTAATATAGAGCCCGAATTACGCAACTTGGCAGATTCATCAGAGGGGGGGGGCATTCCTCCAAAAGTGAAGGATTCTCTCTAAAATGGTACGTAGACTCCCCAATCAAAATCAGCGGTTTAATTAAGCAGTCAACCGGGTTTCGATGTTATTGTGTTCCCCCGACTCTACAAGTGCCCATCAACAGCTTCAAAGCCATCTAGCTCTTTTTTTGTTCGGTTGGAATGTGGAACTCCCTTTACAGTTTGTTTGGTTGTTGCTATGGAGGACCAACTGTTCGGACCCGACAAAGGTCGGCTTCTGTGTGGGTTCCCTCTACCCAAACTGAAGCACGCGGCCGAAGAGTGTGACTCTGCCGGAGCCGTGATCGAGAGCGGCGCGCTGGTTCAACGGAGTAGGATTTGGTCCCCTTTGTGGGTGTATCCTTTGTACCTTTTTGGGAAACCAAAGGGGAAACCGCCTATTTTGGGGTCGGGCGGGACCATAAAAAAGACACACCCTAATTAGTGATTTCCCAATGGAACATCGGATTGGCCAAGCCTCCAGCGATCCGCCCTGAGAAATCGGAAACCATTAGACTGCAGCTTGTAAAGAGGACATTTCCTAGACGAGGTCGCTGCAAAGAAGGCCGAGTGGAACGCCTGCCTGGCCAAGCCGCGCGGCAGGTTCAAGGGACTCTTGGGTTCTTCATTGGTTAGGTCCAAATCACTCAAAGCCACCAGGGGAGGGGGTGGGGTGGGGGGGGGGGGTGGATCTTGATCTGCCGAGAATTGACAGAACGATCCAATTGTCCAACGCCCAAGTTGGAGTCTTGCTGGATCGAACATGGTTCCGGCGAAGGTTCAGCTGAGTATATTTTCGGTCCCTGGCAAAATGGACAGCGCTTACAAGGCGAAAAAAGGGGGGTCAATTCTGAGAACCTCTCTTCAGGCACCAGTGATGAACAGGTCGAGTGGATTGATTCTGCGGCCAAAAACTGCTGACACCTGACCAGAACCCACGCCCTCTGCTTTAGGGCGCATGTAAAATCGTGTTGTGAAATAGGTTTCAACACTCAGCCCACAGGGTTTTTCCGCAGACAAGGATACCCTATGGAAAATACATGACATGAACTCTGAAGAGGCGCTCTGCAGTAGCACGTCCCTCGACTTTTGTCTAGTGTTTTTTGTTGTTTCATGTGTTTTGTTTTTTGTTCCCCACCCGACAGGAAGGGGTTGTTAGATTTTATGTTGGAATCCGCGTTTGCGATGCTTCTACACCACGCCCCCACCCAGTATCCCGCCAGAGCAGCTCACCAGTGCATCCCGCCGAGTATCCCGCCAGAGCTGCTCGCCAGTGGATCCCGCCCAGTATCCCGCCAGAGCTGCTCGCCAGTGGATCTCGCCAAGTATCCCGCCAGAGCAGCCCGCCAGTGGATCCCGCCGAGTATCCCGCTGAGTATCCCAGAATAGCTCGCCAGTGGATCCCGCCGAGTATCCCTCCAGAGTAGCTCGCCAGTGGATCCCGCCGAGTATCCCACCAGAGCAGCCCGCCAGTGAATCCCGCCGAGTATCCCGTAGCTTTTCAGTCCGGCCAGCATCGAGCCGGAGCGGCTCGCCAGTGTTCGCCAGTGGATCCCGCCAGTATCCCGCCAGAGCAGCTTGCCAGTCTGGTTTTGCTTAATGTTTCGCTCGGCGCACAGTTGGGTTTACATTTCATGTTGGTGCCTTCGTGTTTTGAGTGCACCCTGAGGCTCGGAAAGGGTGATGCTGTTGTATTGCTTTGGGTTGCGAATAAGCAACTTTTTGGAAGGGGCTTGGCTTTTGTTAACGGAACCGATGTTTGAGTTCTCGAGATCGGCTCACAGACAAGTGGAAGTGGCCGATGGGAAGGGAAGGGGCCGATGGGAGTTTGGAGTCGAAGTCTCTAGATTTGTTGTAACGGTCGTAAGCTCGTGAGTGTGGAGGGTGGGGGTTGCTCGAAGCGAAGTAATTTTTTTCTCGAGGCAGTCTTCCTGACGAGGTTTTGGATCAAACTATCTCTTTCTCCTGTTACCGTTGTCTTGAATCGGCGTGTCGAAATAGGGACCGGCCCTGTTGAGACTTGGTACGCTGGTACGTCCAAAGGAGGCAATATCGCGGGGTAGTTGAGATAGTGTTTGGCGATATCTGGCGAGCTCAAGCATCCGCTGGTAAAACGAGCGACTAGCCATGATGTAGGTCCTTTACCTATGGAGGTCTTATGTCAAGTTTTTGGGATTGTTGTAAGACACGCGGATAGTGTGCTTAGATTGCTTCTTCATTCTCTCCTCCCATCATGTTCTGCATTTTGGCCCACTTTCTGAAGGAGCAAAAATGGAGCCCAAAACGGGGGGTCCCCCAAAAGGAGATTTCTCTTCAAACCTTTTCCGGGCTTTACAGGGAAAAAAACAGTCCCTTTTGAAAGAAACTCGTCTCCCAGGACCCCCTTGTGAGGTTGCCATGACCCCATTCGAACCAGTGAAATGGTACCCGAGGAGCGGGGGCTTCCCTGGCAAATGCGAGAAGTTCGAGAAGGAGCTCCGGGGCGCCGCGAAGGCGCGTGGGCCGCGGCTCCGATTCAGACGCCGCTCGGACCTTTTCTGGGGCTGGCGTCATGGACACGCGAAGCGATGCTTGGCAGATGTTTTTGCCAAGCAATCAATCAGAATTCAGACTCATTCCCTTACACGAAAATATGCCCTGAAGAAAAAGGTTGCGAAACAGCCTCTTAGTGTCCACACGGGTGTGGTTAGGCCTTTGGTTTCCGGGCCCATTGCGTGGCACACGAGGTCGTTGCGTTCTGCCAGGCAGCAGGAATTGAGAGCTGCGCGGATGAGACCATTGCTCGAAGCTCAGTGGGTGGGGGCTGATGTCCTCAAACAGTTTTGCCCTCCCGCTCTTGCAAGCCTAGGCATCTCACAGACACACGACATATTTTTTTCCCCCAACACCTATGGGGTCAGAACGCCAACCCGTTTGGATGGGTTTGGGGCAGGGCACATAGGCAAGTTCCGAGGTTGGCTGTTGGCCCACTCCTTTGGATATGCTTGGATCTCAGGGCGTTCCCCAAGCATTCGGGTACCCTGTTTTTCCCTTTTAGGGCGCAGAGTTTCTCGTTGGACTCCGTTCATGAAACTAGGGATGGGGATCCATCTCTTTCCTCATTCCCGACTCACCCAAAACGGGTGCAACTTGTGGGTTTTTGGTTTCTTCCAAGAACGGGAACCTGGGTTACCCCGCCACAGGGGGGTTTTCCTTTGGCCACACTCTCGAAACAGCGGGTGCAACTTATCCCATTTTCCCAGTGGCTCCCATGTTTGTATCTTTGTTTTCGCGGAACGGTTCTGAGTTCGGGAAACCACGAAACCCTCCACCCAATTTAAATAATGACCCCCCCCCAAAAAAAAAAGGGACACCCCCCCCCCCTCAAAAAAAAAAGAAAAAAAACAGACACCCCCAAATTTAATGACACCCCCCCCCCCCTCCCCAAAAAAAGCATGGACGCAGCGGTCAGACACTCAGAGTCAGTCGACCGGAGTCGAGCCGAGTCCCTTATGAAGTGCACCAGCGCCGGCAGCCGCTCCCTGGGCTGCGGCGCGCAGTTCCTGGCCATGCGGGAGCGCCTTTCTCGGCAAAAGCCGGCAACAAAGAGCGGCAAAGAAACGCGTGGCCTAAAAATTGCAAAACCCGTATCAGTTTTTCTTTCAAGAGCAACCAAAGGGAAACAGCCCCAGCCTGTGGGTTCGACATTTGAGGCAAACCACAGCTTTGAAGTCTTTTGAGACGAACCAAAGAATAACCAACTGACCGACCAACTGGACCAGCGATGGAAACAATGGTTGTCAACGCTGTAACCGAAGGAAAACCAAGCAAGCAACTAAAACAAAGAGGTCCTCCACGTCGACTACGTCGACTTGCTGTGCACTCAAACGCCACCCCGTGTTGGAGGCTCTTCGTAGCCCTCTGGTTGGTTTGTCGATGGGAGCTTTTCCATGAGATCCACCCAGAGGATCATCCTGACTTCCTTTCTGGGATAGACGCGCATCATATGCCATGGTGAAATGGGTTTTGGAAATCCCATTTTCCCAGATACTTGTGTGGGAATCCACTTCAAAGTGACAAAGTAGGAAAGTTTTCGGGGATCTGAAGGAGAGTCCCTTCTTTCCAACCCCGTCCTATTTGGCCCCGTTTTCCTTGTTTGCCAACGGGGGAGTTTTCACGGGCCCCCCTCAAAGGTCACCCGCGTCTGTTATTGTGTCAGGTAGCCGCTTAGCCCGGCGACCCCCAGTATCGCGGAACGCTTGAGAACCTGGTGCATGAGGTTCCTTCCATTGCGTCACTCAGTTTTATTCGTGTATTTGTGGCGCCAAACATGTTTTCCCCAACAGCTGAAGACCAGATAAGGTTTAGGTTCGAGCAAGGATCCGGACAGGCCAGGTGTAAGGTTCAAGGCAGGTTCTGGAGGTTCTGGGTGGTTTGGTGCAGGCCGGTGTAAGGCTCAAGGAAGGCCAGGTGTACAAGGAAGGTTCCGGAGGTTTTGGGCGGAGGTTGCGGGGTGGTCCGGCGCAGGCCAGGTGTAAGGTTCCAGGAAGGTTCCGGAGGTTCCGGGGTGGTCCGGTGCAAGCCAGGTGTAAGGTTCAAGGAAGGTTCCGGAGGTTCGGGGTGCTCTGGTGCAGGTCAGGCGCAAGGTGAAGAACTGAAGTCTAAGAACTGAAGTCTGAGACGCAACAGACAAATCCTAGACCTTCAGCGCCTAGCTGTTGGGGATACCACCGGGGCTTATTTCTCTGCATGGTGAGTTGAATAGTTCAGTAAATGCTGTTTCCCATTCATGTTGAATCAACTGTACATCTTATGTTGTCACGCATGTTAATCAGATATATAATGCTATTTGTATAGCTACTGTCAAACTTACATTGCTCCATCTAAACTTGTATTCTACTTCCAATCACAACACTCTGTCAATCATGCATAACTCTCAATAAATAGACAGCCGCAAGCTATACCTCAGTGGCAAACTCCACACTGGAGTTGGCTTGCCACGTGCCTTGGCATCGCCTTTGGTTCCCAACGGAGCCCTTGAACCCGACCCAAAGTTGACATTTCGAGACTCGAGGATTTGCGGTGGACCCAGGTGCAACCGTGCCGGTGGCAAGCAGCTCTTGGCCGAGGGCGCAGGCAAAATCGTCCCATATTTTATTTGGAAAGATGCGAGGCGGTTTTGCTTAGGGCCAAGATATTTGTTTGCTGTTTGTTTGTTTTGGTGTGCTTTGTCTTGTCTTGTATTGTTTAGTCTTGTCTTGTTTTGTTTGGTTTTGGTGTGTTTTGTTTTGTGTTGTCTTGTTTCTTTGTTGAGGGGTGACCACATCGGAAGTTGCTTGCCCAAAGTTTTTCGGGCGCAAGGCCTGGGTCGCAATATGTTTGGGGTCCATCCCTGAGACTGGTGTGACAGACTTCCTGCGCATCCGTTGGCATTAGGTAGCTTTTTGACATATAGCTGGAGTCATGCATTTTTTGCCGATCTTTCTTGAACTTGGCCCTGCGATCAGTTAGATCTACACGTGACTAGTAAAGGGGCAGGGTCCAACCCCAGCTCCAAGCTTTCCTTGGGAGCAGGGCTTTGGCTTCGATTTTGAAGCCAATGGAACCTTGGGATTTCCTTTGGGGTTACCCCCTCGGTATGTGGAGGTTTCGCAAAATCAAAACGGACGCGTTTTGGGATGGCTTCTTTCGGGGAGAACCACAAGGAAGCAGCCCATTTTCCGTGATCCCTTTGAGAAACACCCAAAATAACTTTGTCGGGGCAACGTCTTGTCCCAGAAACGAGCCCACCGACTTACTCGTCCGGAGGCTATGCCGTGGCACCGGGCAAGGCGAGCCTCTTCAAGCCGGAGGCAACGCGTCAGAAGCCATGCCACTTGAAACGTATCCGTTGGAACAACTCATTTTGCTGAGGAGCAGCAAGCCTGTGGAATTGTAAATGCTGCGCCTTGCCCGCCTCGGCCCTGCTTGCTCAAAAGCAAGCACCAGAGCTGGTCAAGTGGCGATTCCCAGGTGTGACGGCAAGATTTGACTGGGCTGCAGGCAGGATAGACAGGCCTAGCCATGCTCAATTGAGCTGGTCAGTTGTCACTAAACTGGCGTGGCTGACCTGGGCTGGGGCTGACTGGCTGCCCCAGTTGTCTCAGGCAGGATAGATGGCCTGGCCAGCATAAGATATGCTTTCTGGACCAAAGCTTGCTTTCTAAAAACCAATTGTGGAATCCAAGCACCTGCTATTTTCAGGATCGGAATCTCCTTTTGGAGTTTCATGGCAGTTTGTAGGGGAGTACGAGGCGAAGCCCTCCGAGTTCAGTTTCCACGCTCAAGCTGTTTCCTTGCCAGGTGTTTTCGTCTAGGCTTTTAGTCAGTCAACGCAGCAGGCCCAGGCGGACATCAAGGCAACCCCTTGGCTGGTTCCCAGATGAGGAAATGGCCCCTGTGACTTGCCTACCCTGACTCCCTGACCAGCAAGGTTTGCAGTCATTTGAAAAAGCGCGGTCTGACCCACAATCAAACCGCGGGGTAGACGAAGGGTCGCCAGCCACCTTTCCCGCTTTGCAATGATTTGGGTCTCAAATTTGGACCCTAAACCCAATGGACCGTTTTGGAGTCCACCTGCCCAATGGATCCCAGGCAAACTCATACAGCAGCTACCAGGCTATTTTCCTTTTGGGGTTTAAAAGGTTCCCTTGGCAACCTACGCAGGTAGCTGGATCCACTGGGCTGGTTTTCACCGACTGCCAGGCCGGGTCCCTGACGCAGTCCGCTCCCCCGGTCCGCAGCCTCGAGGGCATGCAGGCGGCCTTGGGCAATGGCGTCGACGGGGGCCCGAAGCGGGCAATTTCCAACGAATCTGCTCCCCATAGCATGTACATGTCTGTTTTGTGCAGTTTGCCATGGGTTCAAGTTGGAAGCAAAAGGAATATCAGCCACTCGCCAGTGCACTGGTACGAGGCTAGAAGCAGTCAGTACTCCGAAAGGCCTTCCGTTGCCTTTCTTTCTTTCTCTTCGGAAGCCTTGGGAAGACTCTGGGCGATGCACTGCCTCATTTTAGAAACAATCCGAACTTTTGGGGAGTTGCATTTTAAATCTGCCGACCCGATCCAGGGTCGATCTTGCACTTGGGCCAGTTTCCCTCGACCTTTGCGCTGGTGTTCAGTGTCATGTTCAGGTTATAGGCCTGTTTGCTGGTCGGCCAAGAAGGAACCCTGCACTCAGAATGAGGCAAAGAGCAAGGGGACTTTTCAGGGAGAGGGGCTATAAGCATCCATAGCTGCAAACCCAGTGACATGCGCTTGACAAGACACATCACGCACACCCTCCGCACTCTCCAGGAGTACGGGCAAGAGTATGCCAAGTCCCTTGGTGTGAGCGAGGCGCAACCACCGGGCGCACGATGGCTCCAATCGCGACCCCCATGCGTTGGCGGCTTCTGTTTGGCTCTTTGAAGCAATCAAATAGGGGGCCTTGCCCCAAACACACACCTCACTATTGGTTGTAAGCAACCACTCAAAAGGGGTGGGCGGGGGATTTCTTGTTTGGCTTTCCCCTGAGACAAGAACAACAATGGGTCGGACCGTGCAACCCGAGACGCTCGCCAGACTTGGCTCGCAGAGTCTTGATATCTCTCGACCATGAGGAAGTCGGTGCGGTCACCCCCCCCCAAGCGAGGATCCTCATTGAAAGGGGACAATATGGCTATGAATTTCAATGGGAACACCTGAAAAATGTTACACCTCCTTTATTAATAGTCCCCTCTATTCTAGCCATTTGTGTTCGCAATTCAGGATCTTGTGACTGTTTTGGGGTCCTCAATCGAAGCAATTGTTCCCCCCAAAAATTGAAAAACAGAAAAACAAAGGCTCTTTTTTTACTCTCCTGATCTTGTCTGGTGCTGAGCCTCCGATAAAAAAATGGGCCATGGTGACAAAGAAGTCGAGCAAAAAAACGAGCAAACAAATCCGGGCAAACATGTTTTTTTGAAGTGGTCCCCAAACCATCAAATTTAAGATAACTTCCTTACAAAAAAGTGCGGGCAAACAGTCACACAAAGGGGGTTGCCCACAAGGGGCCCTGAGCCTCTTTTAATGTGACTGTTTTGGGGTTCTCTTTAGTGTCCAACGGCTTCTTGGGTTTCTCAAAAAAGTACGGGCAAACAGTCACGCAAAGGGGGGTGCCCACCAGGGGCCCTGATCCTCTTTAATGCGACTGTTTTGGGGTCCTCTTTGGTGTCTACCCTGTTTGGGGGTTGCTGAAAAAAAGGGTCCTTGGCAATACTAAAGTAGAATTGGCAATACTACAGTAAGTACTGTCCCTCCCAGACCCCCAGGATCTCGCTTAAAGAGGGTCCCGTTGATTGGTTCCACTCCTAGAGCGGGGGGGTGTAAAGAGGGTCCAACATTTTGGTCCTTTTGAGACACAAACAAAAGAAACAAGCTCACAAATGTTGAACCACAAATTCGAAGGGGAGGAGCCCCAATTGTCGCATGTCTTTTTGGACAAATTTGACCGATGGCTAGTGAGAATCGCGCCTCCTGTAGGGCCCTTTCTAAGAAGGCTCTAAGAACCTGTCTTTGAGCTGGGGAGGCGGCCGAGTTTTCCCCGATGTTCATACACGGGAAGAACACATGACCACGTGCGCGTGGTGCTTTTTTTTACAGTTGCAACCTGAAGGAATGCCCCTTTGAACGGCTCGCACCAAAGATGGGTGACTGCAAGGGACGATCGGCCCAGAGTCCAAACTTGAAACAATGAAGAGACCGCCCTGTAAGGGCTATGCAATGACCCCGAGCCAGCTTTCCCAGCTGCAGAAACATTCGGAGTTTTGTGGGGAGCCTCGAGAACACGGAGTGGCCAGGTTCGCTTCTGAGACGCCGGGCCGATGCAGATATTTTGAGCATGGCGCTCGTAACTGACCAGACTTGCCCCCTTGCCATCAAGGTATCATCAAATAGAGCATTTGACCTCACTGATCACACCTTGCCACGCAAAGGTACCATTCAGGCGCTTTTTGACCCTGCGTCGCTTTTCTTTTTGACAAGTGGGCTGCATCGTTGAGAGAAATGCGCGGCATTCGTGTTGTGCAGCAGGCATTGCTTGCTTTCTGAAACTTTGCCACCCTGTGCCCTAGCTGATGATACTAGTATCGCTGTCTCGAAATAGGGGAACCCCAATATTGATGTCCTTCAGGTTTTTCCTGAACCGCCAAACTGGTCCACTCAAAAGTGTTTGCTAAAAGAACGGGGCCAATAAGTTTGTGCGGTGAGTTTGAACCGTGTCTGATCAGGTCGGGCTACAGATCTCTTCGGGGCTAGCCCTCGGGCGAGGATCACTTAGACCCGCTAAGACATGGTGTCCCTTTTTGTTTGCGGGTACCCGTGTTTGTGGGAAACCATGAGGGCATAGGGGAACTCACTAGATTCCAGGGCTCACTAAGTGTCCCATGTCCTTTTTGGCGAAACAAGTAGTTTCGATTGTGGCTCACATGTCGCCGTGTCATTGCCACCTCTCTGCTCAGAAAAAAAATCGATGGCCAGATGCACTATGTTCGCTGTGCTGCCAAAATTTCAGTTCGGTGTCCTCTTGGCTTCCCTTCAACCAATGCAAGGTGTCCATTTCATGAAGCACCTATGTGGGCTTGGACACGTGCAGTGCGTATGCCAGAGGTATCGTTGAGGCCCAAGGGCTTCCCCGCCCATTTTGGGGTTTATTCGGACACCGGCTGACGTGTGGATCATCTTCCTCGCCAATCCGCCTTCCGCGGCGCGGAAGCCTTCCGCGGCCGGCGGTCGGGCCCATGGCGCCCAGAGGCCCGCTGGCCAGTGCCTTCCGGGTTCGGCCGTCTGGGACCACTTTTCGGGGCAAGGCTGGGTTTGGGGGGGCTTCTCATCGGCGACCAAGGCTTCAACCACAGCATGAGGTATTATTTTTGCGCGAAACCCAGGCGAGTGAGCAGATTGGACCTTGTAATGCGACTCGTGTTTAGAGGCTCTTTTCCTTTTGCATTGTCAAACAGATTTGGTGTGATTCTTTGTTGCAGATGAAACGCAACCAACAAAACAGTGCTCGCAGGAGTTTCCTTGTGGGCACGTTCTCGTTTGCTCCCAGTCTGGGATTTGGCTTGAACTTGTTTTACATTTTGAGGTTCATTGCATATGGAACAGACTCGACGAAATTCACGACGCACCTTCCGACCATTGCGCTCTTTGCCCAAACAAAAGGCACTAGCAGAAGGCAGGAATAGCGCGCGCAAGATGACAGCCGTGGCCAAAGTCCCCGCAACTGGGCCAGACATCGTTTTTCATATTGTGCGTATAACCGCCTGTTTCCAAGCCTGTTTCCAAGCATTGCAAACTTGGCCCCAAGTTGCTATCCTCTTTGACTCTTTGACCTCCCACAGCTATCAGTTTTTGCGGGCCCGGGCTCCCTTGGCACCCAGAAGTTTTGAGAATATCCGCCATCGACCGCCTTAAACGAAAAAGGAATGGAGTTTGGGCGACGGCCTCTCGTTTCCGCAGGCGAGTCAGGCGTGGGCAGCCTGGCGGATAAAGCCGACGCGAATGTCACAGGTTTGGTCAAGAACTCCCGATGGATAGCACCCAACTGATTTGGATGCGTCTTTTTTCAAGGTACCCCTACTCCCACTAGCATAGCATGTGTGAGAGGGTACTGGCAAGATCAATTTCCTTTTCAAGGGACCCTCTGGCAGGTGCCACGTTAGTGGGAGGGAGGGTACCTGTTGTTGTGTTTTAAAGGACAACCACGATTTTGGGGGTCCCCCAAAAAAAGACACCCTCATTCGGGCAGTGTCGGCAAAAAGGGCCAAATGGCTGATTTGTGAGGGACGAGGGGCAACTGACGAAACATTCCCCACGAGCCATGTCCTTTGCGGTAGCACGGTCATTTTGACCATGCGTCATATATGCCGTCAAAAGAGCCCCTTTACTTGGAGGTGGTAGGGGTGGTGACGAACCCGTTAGGGAATGTAGACAACCATTGTAAGGATTCCTGTTGAGGGAGCAAATCAAACTCTCATCTACTGTCGATGGAATGACATTGGGCACGTCACTAGGAACTTGAGGTTGCTCACCAAGTACAGTGTCGTTGGGGGCATGCTGTGATATTGACCGTGACTGATTCGTGCATTGAACCCACTTTTGGGCCATCGTACAGTCCTAAAATACATCCAACCACCTGAAAAGTCAAAAAGCAGCCGAAAGCTCAAGGAGTTTAGTCGGAGCTCTTTGGATCTGGTTTGACACATTGCGGGTGCGGGATGTTGGATTCGCTTTGACTCGATTTTTTGAGCCGAGGCGACAAGGCGGACCGCTTTGCGGAGAAGTTCTGGAAGGCTCCCCTGATTGAAAGATGACACCAATGGTATGGGTCAAAATGAAACCACCAGGAATTGGACTCGGACCGCAGGTTTTAGTCCGTGTTTCGATTTGTGGGTTGCCCGATTTTTGACCAGCCGTGTGTTAGCTTCCCTCGAAATCGGTGGTTTGGAGCCCGGTTTTGGAGGTGTTCCGGTGGTTTTCCAGTTACCCTCTACAGCCGATCCAAACCACCTTTGCCGGAAACATAGCCACCAGCCCACCCGCCCCTTGGGAAAGAGGGGGAAACCCAAGGCGGCTCTTGCACTGAAGTTTCCCCCTGCATGTTGAATCGGTGAGCAACTTCACCGGGTTTGGTTTGCGACATCGAACACCATGAAGAGCCTCTTCTTGGTGGGTGCAGTTCTTAGTATTGGCAGGTGAATTGCTGACATCTACTAGTAGTCTACCCAGAATGATCATGTACATTGCCTGGGTTTGGAGTGGCCAACTTAAATGCTGCAATGTGTGGATGGGCAACATGGCGTTTTCCCAACCATCATGGAAGTGGGCAAGGCGCCTTTTCAAGAGGATGTTAGTTGTTCAAAACCCTTCTTTCCGCTTCCACGATTGTTGCAAGGAAAGGACGATCATGTATTTTTAGCATGCATTTGGAAGCTATTTATTAGAACCCGTTTACTGTCACCCAAATTTACGATTGACAGCGGCGTGAGCCAATGGCCATGGGTGTGAGTTTCAATGGGTTCCGGACCCTTTGGTGGACATGTGGGTGGGGATTCAGGTAACCACCACTTGTGAGGTGGTTTCCTATTGAAACTCAGCCTCATGGAAGCTGAGGATTGTGGAAGCTTGCTTTCTGTTGGAGAGAGGGTCAGGCAATGGAGATTCCCCGAAAGCTTCAGAATGGGTGAATCACAACTTCTCCACGAGCGGAGGGTTCTTGCCTTGACTCATCCTTGGGTTCTGGGAGTGGGTATCCCACTTCTGTTCCAGTGCTCCTCTTTAATGGAGTCATGGAGTCATTTGGAAGTCTAATATCACAGAAGCCGGCCTATATGGTTTGGTGGAAGTTTTTTTTTCTCGGGACACGAACTGGGCAGCTTCTTGCGGGGGATGGAGATAGCTTGCGCAGTGAAGCACTCAGAGAAAAAACTCAGATGAACCTCTCAATGCACCCATTTCAAGAGCATCGTGGAGGAACCTGGTGGTTTTCAAGAAAGTATCAAACTTGGTGTACATGTTTGGACTTCCCATGCTCTTCCTATACCTCAGAATATGTAAATGAAGGCTGCCGCTTTATGGACCCCTCCCCCTGCCAACGGGTCTGAGGCCAGTTTGGCCTTACAGGTGGATCTCTCACGGGTTTCAGTTTGCTTCTAACCCAGCTTGGCTTGGTATGCAGAACCTGGGACCCAGCCATACACCCGAGTTGGCCCAAATTCCTTCGATCGGACGGTGGAATGTCTTCCATTTCTGTGGACCCCGATCGAAGCATTGGAAAGGTTGCGGGTTCCCCGATTCTGATCGGACCGATTCGATGAACCCAAGCTCCGCATCCAGGAGTCCGAGAAGCCCGCGGGCATCCGGCCCCTGCAGGACGAGGCGAAGTGGATTTTTCAGCCTTCTAATGGGCTCAGACGCACACGGTGTATTTTTCCTGGTTTTGAGCAGGGAATCAATTGCCACTGTTTTGATGGTTATCTAAGTTATCTATTTATGTGTTTTGGTCAGGGGGGTTAAGCAACTGGAAGCAGATGGATGGCATTGAAGCCCCATGTCGGCCAGAAAAGGGGCGGATCGAACCAGACTGCGGGCACAGGGCGGATCCCTTGGGCAATTTTGATTAAAGTGTGTGCCATAGAGGGAATCCCTCACTTTGGAAGCACCCCCAATCATCCACCTGGATGAATCTGGGGACATGAAGTTGTCAGCCCAACTCCAGGTCCTTTTCAATCCTTTTCACCTTTGCCCAAAGCCATGGCTCCAGTCCGAAGCTCCGAACTTTTGTCTCACAGGTGGCCTCTCGCTACAAGGAGGTGGTGCGCCGGGAGCAGGCGGCCTCACCCTTCAGATGGCCACCATCACTGACCCAATATCAGGTAACCCTTGGTGGATTGGCGGTTTGCGGATTTGAAGCCCTGGCCTTTGTAGAGGGTAAATGAGAAACCCCTCCTCAACCACCAGACCACCAATCCAAGCCACCAATTAGAGGGAAGGTGCCAATTGGCCATGAAAGCGGAAGACTTAGAGGCAAACTGACAGCAGGTTGTTTGAGGCGGCTCTTGGTTTTTGGTTTGGGAGCCCCGAATGTACTGACCTTGTGGGTTGGGAACCTGGGTCTAGGGAGTGAAATTTTGGCTTGGGCCAACTAGTCAATGGGGGAAGGGCTCCAAATTCATCACAAGGTCTCCGTCAGACTCCCTTGCCTCCCTTCCTGACCCTGCCGCGAGAACACTTCTGAGCTTTTTGAGGTTGGTTGAAAGTGAATCCAAGGGAAGGGGAAGTGAATGTGTTGCAGTTTTTTTTCAGAGGGGAAATGTTTGGGGTTCCACATCCTTCAAATGTCCAACCTGACACCATGCCACGAAAAGGAAGGTGAGTTGAAATTTGGCCTTTCGGGGAGATCACCCTCAAAGTGGAACTAAAGCGGAAACATAGAGAACCCTGCCTTGGGGGTGATTCATTGTCCCTTTGTCTTTCTGCTAAAGTGTTCTTCCTGCCCTATATCAGGTAACCCTGAATTGGTGGTATGTTTGAAGCCTGCCAACCTCACTCCAAGCCGTATATATATATATATATATATTTAGCTCAACCGCCTTGCAAAACCCCCACTGCTTCACCTCCTTCCCCCCCGCTATTTTTGGTCTTCTCCTTTGCCCCCCCCCCCCCCGCTTTTTTTCTCCTTTTTCAGGGGGGCTTCAGTTTGGAACCCACCCGGGAGTTCCGAAAGCTCGAGTGCTTTCGCTCCGGCTCCAGGCGCTGGCGGCCAGGGAGCGGCTGGCCTCGGAGGTGTGCCAAGCGCAGGCTCCGAGCGGCGCGAAGCGGAAGCGACTCCGTGGAGCTTGTGGAGTGGGAGTCGAAGCCGGGATCAAAGCAAAATTAACGGAAATCCAAGCAGCGGGACTCTTTAAGGCAAGTCTTAGAGCAACTTTTTGAGAGGGAAGCTGTTCTTTGTTCGTCAAACAATCTCCATCCCATTTGCCCACCTTATCTCTGACGCTTGGCTTAGGGTCGTCTCAAGGGCTTAGCCCCAGGGCTTCGTATACGGGGTGGGTTTCCTAACTGCAGCTTTGTGGCCTGGTGGCTCCTGATTTGTTTCGAGTTGTTTTGAGACATCAAGCAGAGCCTCTTGTAATTTTTCGTGAGACCCAGGTTGGGGAAGCCATTAAGATTGAGCCCTGGGAGTTTTAGGCACACCGCCAGGAGTTCAGGAAATCAGGCAATGCCAGTTGGGTGTAGCCTTCTTGCACAATTTTGACCCTGGTCAATTGGTAGGGTGTCTCATTTCAGAGGGAATCCACCTTGCAAAACCCTATAGTTGGGTGTAGCTCGAGAGAAGTGAGCATCTCGAACGAGGGTTCTTGAGACAAACTCACCCGGAGGGTTCGCCCAATGGAGCCCTTTCTCGCACATCCGCGCCGATGTTCTTTGCACTTTCTTCAAAGATGTGTCCACATGAGCCATGGTAAAAACACCCTGGTGTTGGTAGGGATGGTCATGAACCCCTTTCTAGGACATTTAGACAACGCTTATAAAGGCTCCTACTGACAGAGTCGTTACCCACATAAGGAGTTCTGACCACGGCACGCGTGTCCTGCCCCGGGTGTCCCAGGGTCAGGCAACCATGGTTTGACCTCCCATCAGCCCTGTTGCTGGGTCCTCCAACAATGAGGACCCTCCTTTTAGATGAATAGGACACAATCGGAGCCTAGCCAGTTCCGGTGGTACAGTTTGAGCAGAACAAACAATTTCTGACCGGAGACATTCGAATCTTTCTACCTCTCATTTTTGAATCCAATTTGTTTGGTTCCCTTTTGATTTCCCGAAGCCCAAGGCTTTTTTGGCTCCTCCAAAAAGATACCCACTTAGAGGGTGGGCGCTTGGCCTCGATACGCCGATATGCCTCAGGAGGAGCGCGAGCAGGACCTTGAAGAGTTTGCTGAGCGCCTGAAAGCACAGCAGGAGGTCAGCAATTCATGCTTAATCGATCGAGTCGCGAGTCGCCGATTGCGCAACCTTCTAATTGATTCCCACGACGTAATGGAAGGGCGCACGCCGCCCAGCTATTCTTGCCCTTGAATATAGGAGGTTACAGGATGGCAATTACATGCATGATTGTCCAAATCGTCACGTGGTACTTTGGTTGAATCATACCACACAACCCTGTTCAAGCCATGAACGTAGATAGATGGGTCTGTTGCAAACGACGCGTGTGTTCGGGTTCGATCAAGATGATATTGATCCATCTGTTGAGACAGATCCTTTGGTTGAGTAGTGGGCGCATTTTGTCTTTTGCCACGTCAAGGGAGACCAGCCACTTCTTTGACGCGGGATGCCCCCCAATTCATCCACATAGTATTTCTTTCTTCAACACACTTATCGGTAACATGTTTGCATTTTCGGGCTGGTGTTTGCTGTGTGAATGAATTGCTTGGACAACCTGGTTGATATTATCCCATCCCATCATGTTTGCATCTTTGAGTGGTTTTGCACATGTCAAGGTTCTTTGAGAGAGAGTCCTGCCAAAAACACTTCCCTTCGTATGTCCCCTGTTTCCCTGTGCTTTAGCCTACCCTTTCGAGCCTTGATACCTTCTGCCTTTCTGACTTTGTGCCTTCCTGCCTTCCTCTTTTCCTTGCTTTGCTTTTGCATTGGTTTGCCTTGCCTTGCTTTGCGTGCTTGCGTGCGTGCATGCGTGCTTGCTTGCTCATGGTCAATTGTGAGCTTCCCATTCATCCAGCTCAGAATTCGAGTTTCTACCACCCCGCATTGGACAGACTTGGCGAGTCAAGGCAGTGATCCATTGATGGCACTTGCTGATGGCAACTTGGGTGACCACGAGGCACCGAATTGGTTCTACTCCTTTCTTTCAGGCTTTGATAACAACATGGCCGTGGGTCAAAACCAATGGTACCATTTTGGGATAGGTGCACCACCCATTGTAGTCTATTTTAGTGGGGATTGGGATGTTCACTGGGGGTACGGGGTTTTGACCCATGGCCACATGGCAACTCGCCCGGATTCAAACACTCCTCTGGTCTGTTTGGCCCGGGCCGGGCACGTCCCCTTTGTCTGGTCGCACTGACCTCGCTTCCGCGTAGAGGGAGGTTTCCCCGGCGCGCACAGCCGGAGCCCACGCTCTTCACGCCTCAAAAGGCTTATTGAGGCAATTTGTTCACAGCGTCGATCCCATCTGACGTGCAAGCAAGTTTCCCAGTGGCCTCGCCTGTTGAACATCAACCTGCCAGGGTGACGCATTGAAATCGCTACGCGATCCGCCGACGCCAGTGGACAGTCCCCTGTTAATAAACTGGGGCTGATGTCACGTGGGGCTCTTGACACGTGGAAGAAGAACAAACAACGCCGCTCTGACGTCGGCTGCAGGGTGCCTTGAATTTTGGGTAGGGAAAAAGACTCTTTTTTTGCCTAGGTCAAGTGGGGCTCTTAGCGCATGGAAGGAGAACGGGGCTTTTGCCTAGGTCACATCGGGCTCTGAACGTGTTGAGGGAGAACAAACAACGCCCCTCTCACGTCGGCTGCAGAGTGCCTCGATTTGGGGTAAAGCAAAAGATGATTACAATCAGCGCCCCTCTGACGTCGGCTGCAGGGTGCCTCGAATTTGGGGCAGGAAAGAAGACGTGTTTTTGCTTAGATCACACGAGCCTTAACAAGTGAAAAGAGACCAAACGACGCCCCTCTGAGGTCGGTCTTCTTCCTTGTTTTTTTGCCTAGATCACATAGGTCTCGTAACGCCTAGGAGAACAAGCACCGCCCCTGTGGAAGGAGAACGAACAACGCCCCTCTCAATTGCCTTGAACTTGGGGTAAGGAAAAAGACGTTTTTGCCTAGGTCACACGGGGTTCTTAACGTGGAAGGAGAGGGTGCCTCGAATCTGGGGTAAGGAAAAAGATGTTTTTTGCCTCGGTCACATGGGTCTTATTAACCAGAATGCAAACAACGCCGCTCTGACTTCGGCAGCAGGGCTGAACACTTGAGAGGAGAAGAACACTAGGGTCGTCTACTCTTTAAACCACCCCCCGACAGGGCATAAAAGCAAGGCCCCATTCATTTTGTTGTAAGTGCAACAAGGCCTTTTTGGCACTTTCCTGTTGTTCATGTCCCAGTGCTGAGGATGCTGGAAATGCAAGGGATGCAGCCACACAACTTACAGGAACAGTCCCAATCTTCGCGCTCAAGATTTTAAGACTTTCAGACTCGCAACATTGACCAAACACAGAAAATACCAGATATGTGCGGGGAATGCAGCCCGGTTTTTTAGACATTTCCCAAGAGCAACCATCAAAAACCGATACTAGCAACCCCCTCAAATACCCCAAAAAAAGACTTCCAAAAGCACGATAATGCAGGGGATGTTTCGCGGTAACTGCTCCGTACAGGTGGGGAATGGCAAAAACACTCATTTTTGTAAATTTTAACAGTTCCTCAAAGTATCACTGCACTTGGCCCCACCCAAACCCCTAACAGGCCAATTCCAACATCGCTTGAAACAGCCAAACACCACTAGTAGCTGCAAAATTCATGCCAACAAGGCAATCCTGATGATGCTGGGGATGCAGATCCTGCGCGTCTGGGGGGAACCCCCCCCCCCTAGAGACCTAGGCGAAAAACGCATTTTTTCGCACGAAAGACCAAAACAACGCTGGAAAAATACAGGCTTTGGACACCCAGCACAGCATGCCCAAGAAATAGCAGTCCCAAAAGCCTTCTGCTTTGAGAAGAGATTCCGAAGGAAGACCAAGTTGCGGACTGCCATCTACACGCTCGACTGGCGTCGGCGGATTTTTTTGCAAGCTTGCCCGGAAAGCCAACTGTACCTGCAGCAAGGAAAAAGCTAATGTACCAGTCTGTTTTTTGAGGCCGTTTTTTGGTAAGATGGCCATTGAATTGACCTCGGGGACGGCATGGTACCCCCATGTTTTCATTAGCTGTTGCATATCATACATGTGCTCGTCAATTGGATTCGGGCAACTGCTGTTGACCCGCCGCGAGCCCGGAAAAAGCCTCGGTGCTCGTTTCGGATCCGTTGGTGCGGTTTTCGGCTGAAAAGCCGCGAGTCAGACAGAGTAGTTCGCCCTGCTCTCTCTATCTACGTTGAGCCATGCCGCGGAAACCGATTGTTGGTGGAAACTGGCGCCTGGGCTTGCTGAAAGCGTCAAGGATTGAAGAGGTGTGAAAATGTTAGCGGTCCTTTTGGGCATTTTTTCATCAGGCGGCACCCAAGAACCGGCCGGCCATCGTTTTGACCAAAAGATTGGACGGGAAGGCTACGGGTTGCGGCTTGAACAAGTGCCATCCAGATGCAATTGCGCCCATCGATCGGAAGTTTTTTTTGGCGCGTGCGTTCTGATTGAGGAAGTGCAACCCCAAGACGCTGGAGGAGGCGCAGAAGCTGATTGGGGAATGGAAGAACCAGGCACCAGGGCGGGGGGTTGCCTTCTCTCCTTCGGCCCTTGAGTGGATTCCAGCCCTTGTCATTTTGGAGGGTTCCCCATCCAAGTTATTGAACCATTTCAATCGGAGCAATCCCCATATCGCTCGCTCAGTTGACACTAGCTGCCTCTTCTGGGTGCGGAACACGCGCGAAATCGGCTGAAAGGAGACACTGGAAGAGCCCCCGCCATTCTGCGACTAGGATGACTAGGCCAGTGACCTTTGAACTGGTACAACCAGGTTTGCAACAAAATGTTTGAATAGCAGGCTCCCGGGACTCCCTGGACACCTTCAAACATGGTTGGGACAGGAAGGCGGAAAGAACGTACGCGTGTTTTCCACGCCGGCAAACACACACGGGAAAAAGCAAACTGCCCGAAAGAAAGTCATGTGAATGGCAGCTTTTCGAAGGATAGCGAAGCCGAAGCCGATCTGCAGGTGCCACTGGACAAGCGCAAGATCGACGTTTTTGCATGCCCCATGATGCCTGGCCCTCGCGTTCTCCAGGGTTTGGAAAAGCCGGGTCTTCGGTGGAAAGGTGTTTGGGCAATTCGACCCGCGCAGTGATTTCGTGTTTGATCGCATTCGTAGAGGTAACCAAATTATCAAGATTGGGGCAGTTCTTTTCTTTTTCAACAACCCTCAACTGGGCGTTTGTTTGCTTGGGGAACCCACGAAAAATACAAGACCCCATTTGGTTTGCGAAGAAGGGCATGGAAACTCAAAGGGCTCAACGTCGGCTTAGGCCTCACTTGCTCAAAGTGAAGTTGCCCATGGAGAAGTTGGGCATCTCCGCCTGCGCACAGAATTGCCGGGCTCCCCGGTTTGTTTGGAGGAGCAATCTGGTAGTCCTGGGAAGTGCTCCAAAAGGCTCCTGCATAGGTGGTCACGTTAGGTCAGTTAGGGTAGAAATAGATGGCACTGGTTTAGATGGGTTTTGTTCCATGTACCTATATTTTGCCAGAAAGTCACCTATGGGCTCCTGTTTCTCTAGAGAAATTCTCACAACCCCCCCTCTTTGAGCCCGTTTATTTGTCCTTGAATCCAGCCGGGACCGGCTTAAGGGGCAAAGGGGCTCCTAAGTTTGATAGGCCCCCTATGCAAACTGGGTCCACCAAGGCCGCCATCTTGATTGCCGCTTTTGCAGCTGCACGCTTTGTGTGGCGAAGTCTTGTTGCTTACTTGCCAACACACCTCTTGCAACAAACTCTCAGGCGCTACTCTTACTTAGATTGAAGTCCCTTTCTTTACTGCTGCCCTCACCCTGACCCTCCTCGTTACAAAAACATCCCTGTAACTTTCGGGAAGACCGTTTTGGTGGATAAACACAGTTTGGTTACTTTTTGAGCAAACCACTCAATCGGAAGTGAGACGTTTGGTCAACCTCTCTTGCTCTGTTTGACGGAAATGATCCCACCTTGAACACGAGCGCTTCCCCACTTCATAGCCAACAGTTGAACAGGACTCTGAGCACTTCCCCACTTCATAGCACAACCCTCTCCCTCTCCCTCCGTAATCCCCTTAACTTGGACAGCAAAAAGCACATCAAGCACCAAGGCTCCAAGAGGAGGTTCTGTTCCAACTCTTCCAACTGCTTCCCGCCTCTCTCGGTGCTCGACGCCTCGAAAATCGATTCGCGCCAGGCAGCAAGACTGGTGAGGGCGCCTTCACGGGTGAGGTCAGCGCCGCGCAGCTCAAGGACGCCCGCGTGCAGCCGGGAACCCAATCGGGTCCCTAAAGCGCGGGGGCGAAAGCGAAAGCGTCAGCCTGGCGCAGCGTGCCAAACTAAGGGCTGGGGGGATAACGGCAGTCGGCGAGCTTTCATCGGCTCGGCCAGACTTGGTCTTGCGACCAAGGTTAAGGCATCCTGATGGCATGAAACATAGGAAAGAGTTGGTTGGAGACTTCAAGAGATTCAATCAAATGGGCCCGTCTTTTTTCCCGGGTTGATCTTCTATCAAACCACCACGAATCGTCCCTTTTGGAGGTCCCCTAATTTTGAGACAAACCCAAATGTCCCTTCAAACGGACACCATTTCGGTGGCCGATGTCAGCGTGAACCCTGCAGTTCGGGGTTCGGGGAGCCTTTCACTCAAGGCATTGGTCAGAGTGACATCCTTTGTGAATCTCTGTTCTCCGTTCTGTTTTTGCCTTGGCGCCGTTGCGGTGTGCAAAGATCTAGAGGTACCTTCCCCATTCTTTCCAGGGATCCTTCTTTCTAGAAAACCTCCGAAAGAACGATGGTTGAAAAGAGTTGGAAATCAACCAATAGAATAGAGACTTTTCTTTTTTTCTTTTTTTCCGGAAGGACTCGCTTTTCTTCTTCTTTGCTTCCGGCTGCGAGAGTCCAAGTCGGTTCTGTGTTGACTCAGGTGGACGCTGCTCGGGCACTCGGAGCGCCGCACCAAGTACGGGGAGACTGATGAGGACCGCCGTGATACCGCGCAACCACTTTGGTTGCCCCTCTTGCAAACCTTTGGCAGAAACCCCAAAGGACTTTCAAGGGTTCCACCCATTTTTTGCAAATCTCTCTGGAATTGGTGTTCTTTGAGTGTTCCTTTAGGATGCTGCTGGAAGGAATGGAGCACTGCTCGGGGCAAAAGGTGGGGGCCTCTCGCAATGTGCATTTCTCTTCCTGAGGTTGACTTGCCTATTGAGCCACCCGGTAGGTGAAGCTTAGGAAAGGACAATCCCAACCACAAATAGGGGCCGCCCGTTTGCTTCTGTACATGTTTTGAGTCGACGTTCTTTGTGATTTCGTTTTTTTTTTTTTTTTTTTTATGTTTCCCCTTTTTTTGTTTTTGTTCTTTTTTTCGCGGGATTTCCGCAAACCGAACATTCAAAAGCAACATGTTTGGACATCATTTGTGGGACCCAAGAAAACTGGGCACTTTCACGGATCCCATTTCGGGAAGAAAACCTGTGGCCGTTTCTCTCAAGGAGGTGGCGGAGAAGGTGTCGCAGGCTTTGGCCGCGGGCCTCAAGGCGCAATGGATGGGGGCGACCGGGCTAGGGGGTGGGGGGGGTGGAGATGGAAGTGGCCGGTGGCTTTGTTCCGCTTGATTGTACTTTGTTTGTTTGATGAAAGGCCCAAGGTTTAATATATTAGAGTCCCTCAGCAGCCTCAGCCGCGAACAAAAGAGCGTGTTTTTGTGGACACTTTTGTTTTGTTGGGGGGAACCACCCGGACAACCACTATTGTTGGGTCACCCTATGGCACAGGCTCATGTGTTCGGTGGAGGGGTTCCCTTCGAAGCCAGGACACCTGTGTTTCTTTTTGAAGGTACCTCTTTCGGATGCGCGGTATAGGGCAAGGGACCCTCATGAGTATCCTGATTTCGAGAACCAAGTGCGCCGAGCAGCTCGAATTGGCTTTGCCCGGGCGGGTACACTTTTTGCGGTTAAGGGAACCCACAGTGAACACCACCTTTTCGTGGGCGTTTTTGAAGAGACCCACGGAGGACCGAACCAGAATCACCGGGCCAAGTCGTATTTTTAAAGCACGGCCACTTCCCGTTGTTTCTGCTCCAAGCGTAGTATTTGAATAGGAAGGGGGATCTTCTGAAAAGGTTTATTGTTGTACTTTGTTCTGCACTACAAAATGCAGGTGACTTGATTTTCATCAAAAGGCTAACTTGAGAATTGGTGTTTTCTACAGTTTCGTGAACGGCAGTGTTGGGCATATGAAGCAAACCTTGGGGGCAGCCGTTCCTCCCAACATCTGGGGCCGTTGTCCAACCATTTCGGGCCCCGAGCCACCGGCTCCCGAGCCATCAACTCGACAGGTGGTGCTAGCCATTGGCGAGCTCTTGGACGAGCGCGAGGCGCGAAGCCGAGGTCTTCGACAACCGTTGGGGCGTGTTTGTAACTGCGGACTCAGCCCTTCCCCTCGCCCCCCCCTCCCCGTGTTGAGCCGAGAAAGTGTGGTAAGTCAGAAAATGGTGCCGGGCCCGCCGGAAACCAGAGCGTCTTTCCAGGTCTTAGCGCATGTTGCTCCTTTGGCCGTCGCAATCCCGAGATAGGGGCGGAAGAATGAGAATGGGGCGGGGGTACGTCCTTCAGTTAAATGGCCGTCGTCCAATGCCCTTCCTTCTTTACTCGAGAGCTTGTGCCGGTGTGGCGTTTGGGGCAACAGGGGGGGGGTTCAGAAAGGACCCTCCTTGGATGTTCTGCTGGGAGCCGTTCCGCGTGAGGCAAGCGTGGTTTTACCTAGGTTGTTGAATATAATTTTATGAACCAGCACCTTGAGCAAATGACAAGTGGAAAGAGAGAGTTTTTGACAGCTGCTTGCATGCTTCGAGTTGGCCTACCAACAAAAGGATAGGGGGGTTCTGTAAATCCAACCGGGGCGTAGAACCACTAATTACGATCTCCCTTTGGTTTCTCCTCAAATCAACCCCACAAAAAATATCCTCGAAAAAGCACGGTCTGCTGCTGCTGCTGCTGCTGGCCCGGCCTTGCTCTTAGCAGAGCAAAGCGGACGTTTTACCAAGAATGGTTTCAACATGCGCCAAACATAAGGGGTTGAATCGCCAACCCTTTTCTCAGCCCCACATCTCTTCGGCTTGGCGCGAAGGCCAGCAAGACCGACGAGGTGAACGAGCGCATGCTGAAGCCTGTCGTTGCGAAGGTGAAGGAGGAGGAGAGATCCGGAAGACCGGGGGAACTCAAACCCCATATCTGGGGTATCTTCATACCAAATTTCAAGTTTTGAGGGTCCAAAGGGCCAAATTCTGTTTGTCACGTCCTCCTTTTGGGTAGTGTTTCAAGGGATGCTGAATGGAAGAATAGTTTTTTGGGTCCACGAGTTTGGAAACGCTTGCATGAGATTGGAAACGATTCTTTAGGGGAGCCTTCTTGCGGTTGAAATCAAATGGTGAAAAGGGGGCTTTGCATGTAACCTGTCTTTTGAGGGGGCGTGGGTTTTCTTTTGACACTTGATGTGAGTATGTGGGCAGAAACAAACCAGGTCTTCCCATATTCCCCCATTTTGCATGATTTCAACATCACCTGTTGGCCCATTCAAGGTGAGTTTCCTTTTGGGGTGCCTTTCAGAACACCGAGAGACCGTTCGAAGGGTCTCCAAAACCAGCTTGAGGAACTCCTATATACCGGAGTTTCGCACCGAAGTCCTGGTGGTAGGTGGCGAATTTCTGCAGAAAAGGCCTGCAATGTGGACCCCGGATGAAAACCCTTCCTATTCAGAGGGGGGTGACAGCAGCTGGTTTCTTGGACAGGACTGGAGCCGCATCGTCATCGCCTATGAGCCGGTCTGGGCCATCGGCACTGGTAAGGTGGCCACGCCCGAGCAGGCGCCTTTTTGTTTCTGACGGATCCGAAATCCGGCGAGTCCCGAACTTTGTAGACTCGAGGCTTTCCGAAGCAATCGCCTATGGAGCCCTTTTAAGCGACCCGTGACCCACTGGTTCGAAAGCGTCTTCAATTCTCAGGCCGCGCTTTTTTTTTTTTCTCCGCGGATCCCATCGATCTTCAATCTCTCTCTCTTTTTTTTGTAAACAAGGAAAACAAAAACAACAACAACAACGGTTTTTAAGCAAAATCAGGCCCCTCTGCCTTTTTCTTCGGACCCTTCCCGTGGGCATTTCAGCTAGGCCGAGGAGACCCACGCGGCCATCCGCGCCTACATGGCCAAGGCGGTCAGTGAGGACGTGGCTGAGAAGGCCACGAGAAACCCGCCCGTCCGGTTCCCCGCGTTTGCGGGTCCCAACGGATACGCTTTCTTCCATTTGGTGAATATGTTTTTTATTTTCCCCTGTTGGTTTCAAAGGGAATCTATCACTGGATTTGTTTTTCTATTTTTGTTTTAAATATTTTTCCAGGGGACTTAAGCAAATGGAGGCTTCTGAGGGTGCCGATCCAAGCCTTTCTAACTAGAGGGAAGTTGAAGCAGGACCCCCCGCCCCCACCTTTTTTGGGGGTCAACTATTTGACACTTGGCCCTATATGGGTGGCTCCTCTTTGAAGGGCACCCTTTCTTGGTGCTAAAGGAAAGCCAAGAAGACAAGCCACCACGTTGGGGGGTCCCCCAAACATTTGGCACATACCCCTTTGGGCCAGGAAAACACAACCTTTACCAGCTCATGTAGAGCATCCAATAAAGAAAGACTCAAAAGGCAGCACGCCATGCCTCGAAGTAGCCCGGCCTCGCCTCGCTTCAATGAAGCAACAGGTGGGTGTGGCTCAAAATTATAGACCCGCGAAAACCGGGGCGGGGGTGAGGCAGGGGGTCGGGCAGGGGGGGGGGTGGTGGAGCGAGGAGAGTGGTATTGGAGTGGGAGAGTGATAGGATAGATGTTTTAGGGTTGTACGAAATGCACTTTCTCCATGTCACCTGCGGGCAGCCTACATTATGTTTGGTCTCGGGGTTCTCACTTCGCCAGGTGAGAATTCAGTACGGCGGCAGCGTCACGGTGGACAACTGCCAAGAGCTCAGGGTTATACAAACAAACAGCCACTATGGAGGGGTGGTGGTTAAGAATATGGGACCCTGGTGTCGCCTTGTGCCGCCTTTCAAATGGGATACACAAAAGGGCCTTGAAATTTGACAACCCATCAAACGCTTCTCCTTGGCAAACTCCACTAGAATGACTGAAGGTAACTGGCACATTATTTTTGCAGTAAGTTTTCTGGGGTGGATGAAACCCATCCATGTGTGTGTGTCGATTAATGTGGGGTCCGTCCAGTTTCGGCGGCAATGGTTCCCTCTTTGCGAATCCATGAGGATACCGAAGACCATCCCGCGTGCATTCATCTACCTGACATACATGGGTATGAATTTCGATGGGGAATACCCTCAAACATGATTGGTCGACAGAAATCACTATGCGGGCTTACTTGGAGATCCATGTCCAATTAAGATTCATACCCAGGCCTTCCGTGTGTTAAAGCATGTTAACCACCAATGTGCTTGAACAACCTGCAACTGGTTTCTTCATTGCAAGGCGGCCAGGGTTTGGTTGCCTCACCCACGTAATCGGTCAACAATTCTGGTACATGGGGACTCTCTGAATCTTCCACAAACTCCAGCGGCTTCTCAAATTCACAAAGAGGATATCGCCAACCTTTTCCTGGCACTTATGGGAACGAACACAGGGAGTCGCCGAGTTTATGGTGTTCTTGGGAGCAAAGTCCAATGGCTAATAAGCTTCAAGGCTCCCTAAGCTTCCCGAAGCACTTGAGCCTCAAGCCTCTCTCAAGCTGTTTTCAGCCTCGGTCCTGGCCAAAGCGTCAACGTGGAAGCGGAGGAGCTCAAGGAGCCTTAGATCCCTTGGGTCTTGTCCCCAAGCAAAGGGAGTGTTACCGGGTTGGCTTACCAACCCTCCTTTTCACCATCCCCTTCACAACGCCATGAGCCAAGGCGCTGAATTGATCAAGAAGCCGAACATCGACGGCTTCCTGGTGGGAGGCGCCGGACACGTCCGCCCCGGGTTAAACGGGTCCCACCGGACACAGGTGCCCAGCTCCCAAGGTTGGGAGCCCAGCTACATCTAGAAGTCGCACCTCCCTCAAACCCAACCTTGGATACTGCCCCATGTCTTTTTTTGGGGGGGAAGAGCTTCCTATTGTGCGGGGTAGTTTGAGTGTTCGGGACAAAATGAGCAAAATCAGAAAATGAGTCACCATTTGTTTTGTGATGTGAAACCTTCCTCACCTTCAAGGTTGCATTCATGTCGCATCGTGCGACACTATGTTAAAGTGGGGCTCCAAACTGCTGGTGGTCTGGATTCAGTTGCGTCCCGGCTTAGATTGGTTTAACATGTAATCAAGATGCAACCATTCATGAATTTGCCAGCGAATGCTAAATCAAGTGCGAGGAAAAGTTACCGCAGAAGTGGAAAAGGCATGGTTTGCCATGGTCTTGTTGACGCACAGGGGCCTGTGGTTTTCTGAGCCCTCGATGCTCGCGAAGACACGCCTTTGGGTCCTGTTGAATGCGTGACCTGGCTATCAAGAGTTGGAACTCTCAAACGTGGGGACCTGAATCCCCACCGAAATGATGTCCAAACGGTCCATTCTAGGGATCCCCGCTAATGGGTTCAGCGAGATGCATAGGTTTCTGAGCAGCTTGCAAGTTAGGGGTCGGAAAAGGTGGGTTTCTTTTGGATTCCCTTTGAATGCCCAAAAGGTCCGCAAAAAGCTCCCACATAAACCGGAAAGCAGCATTGCCCGTTGCTTAAATCCTGAGGTTTTGCAAACAAACAAACAAACAAACAAACAAACGAAAGCAATCCGGGAGGACACCAAGCAACTTGTTCATGATGCAGGTCCCCTAGTTGGAAACGAATCTCTTGCATTCATTGGTTTTGAACATTGAGTTTCAGGGCCTATAAGGAACTCCCCTTCAAAGTGCAACACATGGATCCACATTGATATCGCAGAACGGGTGGATTCCACAACCATGGCCTGTTTCGGGACCTGACATGCAATCATGCAACACAGTGCCCGCAACGTTGGGTTTCAACAACGAAGCAGTTGCAGCGGGCTTGTCGTATCATGTCGTATCCACCCCTCACTCTCCTGAACGCCCCCAAAACCGCCATAGAGGACGCTGCTTTATGTCCGTCCAAGACCTTAAAGCCAAGGCTTTTCCGAATGGTTCCCACAGCGAGCCTCAAATCCGAATGACTCACAGTGGGCGCTTCGCCTGCGATTCGGAGATGAAACGCAGCGCGAAGCGAGCCAGGCGCGTCTTTGAAAGCCTCCTTCATGGAAATCGTGCAGCCGCTTGGATGGGCAAATGGGCATGTCAGTACAGTCCGGCGTACGCCAAACCAAGCCCCTCAAACTGCCGGAACACATGAGCAAGTGCTCCACATGTATAGGGTGATCTCCAACTTTCGTGGGTCCAACAAGTCTGATTCATGTGAGCGCCAAAATGTTTGGTAAGCTACGGCTAGTCTGGGGAGGACATGGGGACCCACCCGCCGAATTCCAAACACAAATCCAGGGCACTTGCCCCATTTCCCGGGGGAGCGCGAAATATTGTCCGCTCAGATGACATTTGTTGGTTCATGCAAGGGACCGGGTGGAATGTTTGAAAGCTGCACTCGCCAACAAATGTCAAGTTTCTCAATGGTTTCCCTGCAAACAGTATCTCAAAGGGGGTTGTAGAGCCGCTTTCCGACTGCAGTGATTTGGTTTTGGTTGCTGAAAGGCCCGCCCTCTGAAACCAGAATCCCCCACCCCTGTAGATCCTGTAGGTGTCCTTTGTGGGTCAGTCTGGGTAGAACATAGTCATTTGGAAGACTTGCCGGCTGGAGGTTTTGCCACGGTTCTGCCTGTGCGCTTTGCAAGAACCTCCAAAGATGGCTTTCACTACTCCCAAGTAGAAAATTTGGTATCTGCAGAGGACGTGCAGGCTATATAGCCTACGTCCCGGGGATAGTGGTTCGACTTCCGCTGTGCCACTGGAGTTCAGTTGACATTTACTACCCAGCTCCGCCAACAATCATATCTCAGAGACTTAACGGATCCTTTCCCCGAAAGGAGCCGGAGTCGTTTCCTTCGAGTCGGGAGGGCATTCACTCGTTCTCTTTTCCCCACCCGAAGGCCCGAAGGCCCGGACTTCGGTGAAAGTTGGCAGGAAGAGCACCCCGCCGCCGGTGCTGAAGAAGCCCAAGTGGTCCAAGATCACCGATCTCAACCCGACCACCAAGGCAATGCGATGCCCGGGTGGATTTTTTTGGAGAATCGAAGTCCTAAGGAGCAAAATGCGGGAACCCTGATATGATATCTCATGCTGTTGAAGCAGACAGATGTCTTACGATTCTTGACACGGCTTCCAATAGGAATCGGCACCCCCCTTTCCCGCAAGGAAACCCGCCTTTCCCGCCCCAAGCACCCATTTCGTGTGCTTCCGATCTCAGAAACCCGCATTTAGTTGTCCAGTCCTTTCAGGTTTGGATGCCGCCTGGACTGCTGTCGTTTTTGAGGGGATCGATGGCTCACGCGTTGGTTGCAGACCTCTTCCCTTGCGCAGACAGGTCATGCGCCATATCTACTGGTTTCCTGGTAATTAGTTTCCTTTGATCACCGTCCCAATAATCCTCATCTGTTTTGGGGAGGCGGTGTGATTTGGGGTGGTTTTAAAGGGCAGACATGAAAGGGAGACCCACCATTTCGGGGTTCAATCTTAAAAAAACACACCCATATGTACACCTTTTCCAAAGAAGGATAGGGATGGTGAGGACCCTGGAACGACAACCATGCTACGGGACCTGTGGCCATAGTTGCATATCCAATCACCCATCAAAGACGCACCAAGGGTTGGCGATACCAGAGAAAGCTTAGGTTGGCTTTCATCACGTTTCTCTTTAGAATCAGCGTAATTCCCACCAGATTCCGTTGGATGGATGCGTCTGGGCTGCATGCACCTGGACCCTCAAACTACCCTTGAGCATTGGATATTGCCCTATTCTGGGGTCGATGTCCAATGCATAGTTTGCGGGTCCAGTCGATTTTTTCCGGAGAGACGTTGAAGGGGTTGGATTGCACGGCCAAACCTCTGTCAAAGCTTCGGTCCCGATGGCGTCGGCTCAAGCAGGAGGGCTTTGTTTCGGGCCTCAAGTCCTATGTTCAGCTCCTGCAGCACGTCAAGCCTTCAGAATTGCCCACCCATTCAAGATCGTCGAAATATTCAAAGTCCAAGTGGCCTTTCAACTAGTAAACTTCCGCCCGTGAGTGGAACATGGCACGCCAATGAGATTCACTTTCACGCGCTCGCCTCTTCCGCCCTTTTCACACATAGTGGGCAATCTGAGACCCCGCCCACTCCGCTTCTAGCGCCTTTCTGATTCACATCTTGCCAAGGTGCCTTTTTGCGCGTCATTTGCAGATTCCCACCTCCAAGTTCGCGGCTGCGGGTTCCGCGGAAAGGACTCGAGCAAGGGGGCAGCGCCTCGGCGCCTCGGCTCCTCGGCTCCGGACGGATCCGGCCATGGTCTGCGGCGACTGCGCGCGCCTGGCCGCGGTGACGGAGCTCTTCACGCGGCTCTGGCGGCGAGCCCTGCGCTTCGTGGGGCGGAAGAATTCCATGGGCGCCCTCGGCTTGCTGAAAACACCACGGGGGTGGGGGGACGGTCAAAAAGGTCAAGGCCACTCACTGGCCGAGTTGCGTGGAGGAGCATGGTTGGCTCACAATACGAGCCCCTAAAATTGGATATCTACACTAAGGGCTCCGTTTATTTCAACCATGGTCGAAAGAGTTCGGAAAGAAACGCTTGGAGGTGACCTGGATGGGTCATAGACACACGGTGTCGCATGTTGTGGACGGGTAGGGTCCAGGTAGACTTCACGGGTCGCTTCTGTAAACATCACTCTGCCCCATTGATAAGCTCACTGGGCCCAAAGGGTGAAAGGGAAAATCATGATGCCCGTCGTCAAGGCATGTAGGCTTGCGGAGCATTTCCCTTTGAAACACACCCAAAAAGGGGTACCACCCAAACAACTAGGCCCCCCCCCAAAAGAAAGAAAAACCGACGGGTCCCTCTGAATGTGGAGCAACCCAATTATGCACTCGACTGACGCATCGATGATTGAGAAAGCGAGAAGGTTAGAGATGATAATGTGATTTCCAATCGACAGACTTCCACATGATTCTCTTCTAGCAGGTTTGGCAATGTTTTATTTCTTTGTGGACAACCGTGACCCCAACCAAGCCGGTGTGCAACAATCCTCTAAACGGACGCAACCGCCCGCAAACAGATGCGAATCTCGAGAAGTCGTCAAACCTAGCTTTGCAGGATCGCAAGTTGCGGGCTGTCCACGCAACACAACAGCTTGCAAAGATAGCCATGCCCGTTTATTCAAAGAATCGGACAACTCGTTTCCAACTCGGCCTGATCGGCCTTTAGAAGTGTGATGAACCACATCGGGCAACACAAGCGTTAAACAAGGTGCAGGTATGTCGAAAGCCAGGCTTGGGCCACGCAGTTGCAGAATCATCCGTGAATGGAATTGGATGGATTTCTCTGAAGCAGCAGCAAACACAAGAGACTGGCTCTACTACCTGGCTTCATAAATGCTATAGGCTTATGTAAGCTTTTCCAGCCATGTTGGAACCAAAAGTCAAGTGGCTTTGGGCGCTCATTTCTTGCCATTGAAGGGCTCACCGACCCCGAGCTGAGGCTTGCTGACGACACTCTTCCTGGTGCGTGCAGCGCAGCTGGGGCAGCTGCAGCGTTGGGCAGGCGCCTGCGCGAGTCCCAAAAGCGCCGGACAGGTTGGGCCTTGGAGCTTGGGGAGTGCACCTGGGAGTTGAAACGTTCCCCGAGTCAACCAGAAAAGGCGGGGTCTTTCTTGGAAGCGAAGGTCGACCCCGAATGGCGAGACCTTGTGGATACATGGGAGGGTGTTTCCCTGAAAATGAAGGGTCTCCGGACCCCCGATTGATCGGTAGGGATCCCATGAAAGGAAGAGCATGCCATGTTCCCAAGAATCAGCACCTACCCAATCGAGATGTGGGAGAGTTGGGATGTTGGGAATGTTTTTTTTGAGGGGGCCTTCTTGCAAACTCCTGTTGATCGGTAACCAGGTTGGAGCCCAGAAGCAAAGCCATTTCTTTGCCAACAAATGGCATCCCGACGCGCAACGTCCGACAGAAGGCGTTTTTGGTTGAAGTCTGGGCAGCTTTCGACGTGTCTCTCGAAAGCCGCTGGGCCAGAGTCCAACCAGTGGTATGGTTTTCAAGGCTTGCCTTTGCCAAATGGACATGCCTGGGGCAACGAATTCATGGCGTTCTGTGAAGTTTGGGCCTCGTTGCGTCAGAGTTTGATTGTTTTGTACTCGTCCGCAATCTTCGCATTCTTCTCACTTCCTGAGCTCTCATGGACCGGTTTGGGAATTTTCTGGGGCCATCTCGATCGGAAGTGAGTATTTTATAATTAACCCCGGATTAATAGACCATAGACCTATTCATTTGGGTTTGTTTCCTCGAAAAACGATGAACTCCCACCAAAAGCGGACCCCTATCAATCCTCCACGGGTTTTATTAGTTATTAGTCCTGGGTTCCCATTATCTAGGCCTCTTGTTAGATGGAATCGGCAAAGCCGAGCTTCTCTGCTCTGCCAGTCCTGGTTTCCAAGCTCTCGGACGACCCATTCTGGCCGTCGGCAACAAGCCTCCTGGTGGCGCGCGTCTCAGAAGTCCAAAATGGGGCCTTGGGCTTGTAGAGTTATTTGTTTCCGTAGGCTAGGATTGCATTCGAAGACCCAATATAAGTCATTTTTTTAGGATGTCAAATGTTCACAATCTTCAGCTACTATTTAACATGTTCACCATCTATCAATAATCATTGAATAAGTTTGTCGAACCTTGGCGTTGGACCTATGTCTGTATGGGAGATCTTTCCAACGGGGTTCTGGAAAATCGTGTTCCCATGTGATGATATTTTCTGGTTATTGCTTGTGTTCCAGGATTTCAATAAGGTATTGTGCACGTACAGTATTAGAATACGTTGTGAGTATTTACACATTATTGTCTAGACTTGTTCAAAACCAACTACAAGCTACCGTCTATTTCCCTATACGTTGCCAACGAAGTGATGCACTCGACGGGGTGATTTGCCTTGGACAATTTTGGAGTGAGGCAGGGTAAGGTTGAGCAACCAACAGCGCTGCAACAAGGTGGGATGTTGCGTTTTGAGGCCATTCTGTGGATTCCGATGTTCATGTTTCCATACTCATTGGCTAAGAAAGAGCACTGAGTCTTAACACCCGTTGCCATGGACAGAGGTCATGGCTTAAGCCAGGCTGCCCCAAAAGATATCCGAAGACAGTACGTACCCAAAGAACTGCCCCCTGGAGGGGGGACAGCTCTTTCCCTCCGTCTCGTGGCTGGAGGCCACGTTGATTTTGCCGGTGCCGCGTGTCGTGGTCGTGGGGCCGGCCGTCATCATGATGATCATCTGCGATGTGGAGCCCGGCCCTCGAACTTTTTCCCCTTCGGATGTCGCGGTTCCGGAGGGGATGGAGGTGGGGGAGGCATAGGTTGATTGAAAGTGGATGGCACCAGTTCCAGCTGCCATTTTTCACATTGCCGCCCGTTTTGCATCGCTCGAGCGCGTTCAATGACGCCTTCGCCAGAAGCAAGCACACGTGCTCTGGCTGGTTGTCGGGGACGTGCAAATGAGCCGGGGTTATCCGTTTTACCGCAGAAGGGCATTGGAGGTTTCCAAGCACCAGCCACTGATTGTTTGGCGTGAAGATGTCATCGTTATCAAGCAGCTTCTGAAACCCAGTGCCTCGCTACTGTGTACCTCGCACAAGTTGCATCCGTTTTGCGCCTCCTGTCAACCTAATGTTACGATGGCCCCTAACACGTTGCTCGTATGATCCCGGCGTATTTTGGTTTTGAAGCACGCCACAGTGTCACAGCCCGCTGAGTTTTGCCAGGCCCCTTTGATACCAAACTTGCAACACAAGAACAGAAGGGCCGGTCGGCCAAAGCACCCACCGGGCTGTGTGGTTTCTTTCTTTGTTTCCCTTAAGCCAAAGAAGGGACCCGAGACAGACCAAAGGGAACCATCTGGAAGGAATTACAAGACACACCCATGAAAGCGAAACCTTTTGAAGTGGCGGCTCTGACAACTATGCCCCCTTTTAAAGCCCACGGATGTGTGGGCTTTGAAGACAAATATCCTCTGAAATGCTCCTTGTC